CACCATTTGACATTTCAATCATATTTTCTTCTTGAAACGATACGTTTAATTAATGATGTTGTATTAATTGCATATTAATATAATTAATAATTAATTTTAATAATATTTTAAGGTAGAATTTAATACAAAATAATTTCAAGCTTTATGTTAGTTTAAATTTAACTTTTGCTTCACTTTTTAGCTTTTGCTAACACTTGCTTCTAGTTGTGTCCTCCGATCTTCTTAATATCATCCGCCCATCTCAGGAAGAAGAACATCTTGGTTAAAGAACCTCAGAATCTGGTTCAATACAACATATGTGCAGCTTTTCCGCGCTGCTGGAGATACGATAAAGATTGCCATGATGATCGCCAACATTCGTAGCGGATAGGCACATCAAGAAGTAGAAGATCTCATTTGTGGTCTTCCTGTGCTTCTATTTCCTAACCATGGTCTCCATTGTTGTATTTCGTGGTTCCATCTCTTATCCTTCAGTCGGGCAATGTGTCCTGCGAAGCTCCATTTTAATTTGGTACCTGCGTCTTTTACTTTGGTTTTGCTTCTAATCCATTTGTTTATTTTTTGTCTATAAGTCTCACCCCGAGCATTGATCTTTCCATTGCTCTTCGTGTTTTTACTATTTTATCCATATTAGACTTGGTGAGTGTCCACATCTGTGAACCATACGTGATGGGTATAGGGAGGATACCCTGATCGTAAATTCTGGTTTTCAAATATTGTTCTTTCAAATTTGAGTGCTTTTCAAGATCCAACTCAGTGTTCAATCAATCAGATCAATAAAATAACTGAAGAGTGGAAGAAAAGCGAGCTTATCCTACTATACAAAAAAGGAGATAAAAAAACAACCTGAAAACTACAGAGGTATCAACTTATTAAACACCACTTTGAAGCTTACAACCAAAATATTGCAAGGCCAAATAAATCAGAGAATTACCTTAGCGGATGAACAGAAGGGTTTTCGCACAGGAAGATCGTGCACAGATGCAGTATTCATCATAAAACAGATTACCGAGAAAGCACTAGAGTATAACAGACCAGCATTCATATGTCTAATAGACCTGAAGAAAGCGTTCGATAAAGTAAAGCTTAAAGATGTAATTCACCTTCTTTACGATAGAGAACTTCCACTAAATGTTATAAAAACAATGCAACATCTGCGAAGAAGGACGAGTATTACTGATGTTGTGAAACGCATAGCGGAACTAAAATGGAACTGGGCAGGCCATGTAGCGAGAATGCACAATTCACGATGGACGAGCAAAATTACAAATTGGAGGCCAAGAGCAGACAAACGCAATAGAGGAAGACCACCTACACGTTGGGCCGACGACATGAGGCGTGTCACTAAAAATTGGCAACAAAGAGCACAAAATCGTGAGGAATGGAGGAGTTTAAGGGAGGCCTATGTCCAGCAGTGGACGTGATAAATAGAGGCTGGATGATGATGATGATGATGATGATTTTATAAAAACAATAGAGAACATTTACCAGAACAACAATATGGAAGTTAGAATAGATGACCAGCTTACAGATCCAATAGATATGGGCAATGGAATAAGACAAGGAGACTCGCTTAGTCCAACGCTATTCAATAAAATCATGGATGAAATCATCAATACTATTAATAAAGGAAGAGAATACAAAATGGGGAACAAAGAAATCAGAATACTCTGCTATGCAGATGATGCGGCTCTAATTGCATCCAATGAAGACGATCTACAAAGACTAACCCATAGATTCAACACAAGGGCAAAAGACTTTAATATGGTGATCTCTACACAGAAAACTAAAACAATTGTAATCAGTAAAGAACCAATTAGATGTAAGCTGGAAATCGACGGTATCAGCATTGAACAAGTATTGGAGACAAATTACCTAGGAATTACACTGTCTAGCTACGGAGATGTGGAGAAGGAAGTGAAAAATCAAGTACAAAAGGCTAATAAAATATCAGGTTGTCTTAATAACACGATATGGCGCAATCCCCACATTAATACCGACGTGAAATCAAGAATCTACAAAGCAACAATAAGACCAATAATGACATACACTTCAGAGACAAGACCGGATACCTCCAAAACTCAGGAACTACTAGAAACAGCGGAGATGCGTTTACTGAGGAGAATTACAGGAAAACACACTGAGGGATTGAATGAGGAGTGAAGAGATCAGAAGAAAATGCAATATACCAGAAATAAATGAGTGGACACTGAACAGAAAAAAGGAATGGAACGAACACAAAAACAGAATGGAGGAGACCCGATTAGTCAGAGTAGCGAGGGACAAATCACTAAAAGGTAGAAGTATCGGGCAACCACGCAAAAGATGGAGTGATTACCTCCAATAGAGGCATTAATCGACATTGAACAAGCATTTTGCTTATAAAAAAGAAAAAGAACAAGAAGAAGAACTCAGTGTTCCAAATCCTGCTCACGCTAACCTTATTCTTCTGGTAATTTCGGCAGTTTGATTTATTTTGTTAACTTTCATTATCTGTCCCAGGTAGATGTATTCGCTTACTGTTTCCAAATGTATGTCATTCAACGTTATTTCTCTAATGTTCGGTGAATTTGTAATTATTTTTGTTTTTTTCAAGTTTATTTTAAGACCTACTTTTTTCGAAGCTTGAAATAGTTGCGTCATCATGGTCTGTAGTTCTTCGAAACTTGTAGCGAATATTACAATGTCATCAGCGTATCTTAAATGACTCAGTTTTCTGCCATTAACATTTATTCCTTTATCTGCCCAGTTAACTTCTTTAAACACGTCTTCCAGTCCAAGTGTGAATAGCTTTGGTGAGATAAAATCTCCCTGACGAACTCTTCTGTTGATTGGTATAGCTTTGGTTTTCGTATCTATTTGTATTTTCATTGTAGCTTTTTTGTAAATATTATGAATGAACATTCTGTATCAGAAGTCTATTCTGTAGTTGTTCATAGCTCTCTCTATTACCCAAAAATAAGTATAAGTTCAAGTGATATGCATTGGCTTTCTCTATCAGAGTTCTGACTGTAAGAAGATGATCCGCCGTACTGTACCCAGAAGATGATCCTGATTGGAATGAAAGTTTGACAATACTTCTCTTCAAAAAAGGAGACACAGGGGATCTAAAGAACTATAGGCCAATCTCCCTACTATTCTAAATGTACAAACTGTTTATGAGAGTAATAACTAACAGGTTAACGTCGAAGCTCGATAGCTATCAACCGGTAGATTAATTAACATTTTTCAAGAGATATTGGTGCTATTGATTCAATAATAGTAGATTTTCAAAACTTTCAATAAATCTTCTATATAATTTCGTGATACTTCTTGAATATGTTATTCTAGGTACCTACCACGTAGGAATTCATTATAATTATTCTGTATTCTTGATAAGAAGTTTAAATGGACATAATGGAAATTGGTTCTTACAAGGAGATTCCGATTATAAAGTAAAGCCATTTTCAAAACTACCTTAAACAATCCTATTTCTATACCGAATTTCATATTAAAACCAGATATGCAACAGAACTTTTTATGTATGGAAGAGAAGGTTTAGGTACTATTTCATCCAGTGGAAGTGGCTGTAAGATTGAAAATATTCAACCATTCTAATCTGCAGCAACATTCTACGAGTATAACCTAGTGAGAGATCAAAATGAAGACAATTTTGAAGATGAATTGCTAAATAAAGCAACATGATAGCAACAAACAGAGAAGAATTGTAGAAATTTCATGTATCCCGTTCCTCTTCTTCTTCTTATTTCTGTTTCTAAGCAATTCTGCTTGTTCATTGGCGGATTAATACCTCTATGGAAGGTTGCCACTCCATCCGTTTTGATGACACGTTTCTCTTCCATTCTGCTTATGTGGTTATTCCATTCTTTTTTTTTCTATTTTGTGTCTATTCGTTTATCCACTGTACGTTACATTTTCTTCTAATGTCTTCACTTTTCTTTCGATCTCTCAGCGTATTTCCTGTAATTCTTCTTAGTACTCTCATTTCTGCAGTTTCCAGTAGCATTTGCGTTGTAGTTGTGTCGGGTCTTGTTTCTGAGCCATAATATGTCATTATTGGTCTTACACTGGCTTTATAAATTCTTGACTTCATCTCAGCGTTAATGTGTCTGTTTCGCCATATACTGTTATTAAGGCATATTGCCAGTCTATTTGCTTTTTGTACTTGATCTCTCACTTCTTTGTTCAGGTTTCCATAGTTATGTAGATAGTGGAGTTTCCAGTTATTTCATTTCCATTACTTGCTGACTACTATTGTTACATTGTTATATGTATCACTTTAACTTGATAATTTCAAAACATATTATTAGAGGATAGAGGAAACCCGCTGTATTTAAAAAAAAATAATAATGGGTACTATAGGCCCTTTCACCCGTTTTGGCCGACGCGATATTGAAAACCACTGACGTAAGATGAAAATGTCAATAAAATTATCAATGGCGGAGAGAAAATTTTTTAAATTAAAATTAATCAATTGTAATTCAATTATGAATACTTGCAAATAACAGGAATAATAGAGGTTTCGCTTATAGGACATAATCCATGAAATGAACTATATCATACTTCAGTAATTCAACAAACATGCAAAATGACAGTCACTAATAAATAACTAAGAAGAACAAAAACTATATTCCACTCCGTATAAAAGGTTTAACATCTATAGTACTGTTCCACTTGTTTTTTGAAGCAAACATTATCTTCCCTCAAAGTAAATCTCATCCGAAATAAATAGCAACACGTTAACACTTTCTGTTCCAAGAGCAAAATAAATATTTATTATTTTTTGCTATCGCTTTGAGTACTAAAAAGTGTCAAAGCCCTGTATTTTCACTCTATTATTAACCACTTCTTTGCACACACATTGTGTACATAAAAATTCGATAGTTACCAATTAACGTTCGCAAATCATAACATTGAAACGACTTTTTGATATCTTATCTAAAACTTTTGAAATGACCTATCAGGTCATTACTTAAGACAGCATTAGTTGCTCCACTATCGGCGTGAACAGAAGTACATACTACGTACTTCTCCATCTGGTTAGTATATTATACGTTAAAATGTCAGATTTGGTCAGTGTTTTGGAATTTGAGGAGCACGCTTTTAAAGTTCTTCCCAGAAATGCTTTGGATTATTACAGAAGTGGAGCTGGAAAACAGGAGACATTGGCGGACAACAGGAAAGCTTTTTTCAGGTAATTTTAATTTTTTCAAATTTATTTGATAACAAAATAATGTATGTCTATAAATATGCAGAAAATTGTATAATTCATTTCAATTGGTGAAACATTTTTTAATTACCATTTAAATGGGAATAAGCCACAATTAAAGTGTAAAATAAGTTTAATGACGTTTCAATTTCCACTTCGGAAATTTTTCTCAAATAGAAGCATTAACAAATTAAACAAATTTTGTTTTTTGTTACTTGGTGAAAAAATTCTTCTAATAATTTAATTTTATCTGACTCATTTATATTGAGAATTCAGATATGTATTATACATTTTAAAGTAGACGACTTAAATGATATTGCCAATAAGTTGCGTTGAAATCCATTTTAATTAGAGAATATCCGTCAGAAAAATCATAGCATGTGATTCGTCTTTAAGAAGACAACCACATGCCATGATGACAGTAAATTTCTCCTGCTAGTGATTCCATAGTAAATCATAAGGAAAAAACCAGGAAAAAATACATCTTTTATGTTTTTTAAATAACATAGATAAACAATCAAAATTCGGTGTTTATTAAAAGTAAACTAAATGCACGACCAAATACTTACCATGTCGGGATAGTATTATGAGGTTTTTTCCCGCGTTTTCCTCATGGTTGACTATGGAATCACTGACAGGAATTTTACTGTCATCATGGCATGTGGTTGTCTTTTTAAACGGATATTTTTCTGATGGATATTCTCGGTTAAAGTTTATTTCATGTAATCGAATGAACTATTTTACACTAAAGTCGTCCCAGGAACGCAACTCAGCAATATCGGCAATATCATTTTAAAGTCGTCTACTTTAAAATGTATAAAAGTAACAAAAAATTCAAATTTGATTAATATATTATTCTTTGTATTTTGTGAAGGATTACCGAAGTGGAAATTGAAACGTCAATAAACTTATTTTAAGCTTTAATTGTGGTTTTTTCCCATTAAAATGGTACTTACTTTAAGATGCCACAAGAAAATAGTTTTAGAACAATATTAAGGAAACATTTTTTTGAAGAGTTAAAACTTACTAGGAAATGGTGTACCTAATGCATATAAATTTAAACAAATTTCATTAGCATATTTATATATTAGCTATAAAGACTCGTGACAACTTATTGTTATCTTCTACTTCTTAGAGTGCCATATCGCTACGGAACGTCGGCGACTACCATAATATTATTATACTGATCTCGGTCTTGGGCTACGTGTAGCAATTGGTCCGCTGTCAAACCTGTCCACTGCCGCAAATTCCTCAACCAAGAGAGTTTCTTCCGTCCTATCCATTTCTTTCCTTCAATTTTACCGTTGAGAATTAGCCGAAGGAACTCATATCTTGGCCCTCTGATTATATGTCCAAGATATTCTAGTTTACGCCTCTTAATAATATTTAATAGAGTTCGTTGATGTCCCATTCTTCGAAGAACTTCTTCGTTTCTGGTTCTGCTAGTCCATGGAATTTTTAGTATCCTTCGATACAACCACATCTCAAACGGCTCGATTCTTCAAACGGCTTCTTCAAGACAATCCCTCTCCCTCACCAGAGGTAATCCCTCACCAACAGCATGGCTTTATCAAAGGTCGTTCAACGATCACATACTTACTTCATTATGTAAATGATTGGTCATTATCTTTAAACAATCGGAATCCTGTCAATGTAGTCTGCTTAGACCTCTCCAAAGCTTTCGACCGTGTTCCAAAACGTCGATTACTAGCTAAAGTGGATCACTATGGTATCCGCGGAAAGTTAAACATTTGGATTCAAGATTTTCTATCTGACAGATACTTCAGGGTTTGTCTTGGGGATGACCACTCACTAGATAAACCAGTCAAGAGTGGAGTTCCACAAGAATCAGTACTTGGACCGCTACTTTTTTGTATCTACACTAGTGATTTTCCGTTTCAACGGAGAATCACTTTTCTGTTTCAACTTCAACAAGATCTTGATGCAATATTCAAATTCAAATGTTACTTCCGCTTAACATTGAAAACTGTCTTGTTTTACATATCGGCAAAAATAACCCATCACTGTCGTACTTTATTAATGGACATCCCTTAAATTCGGTATCCTCCCACAACGATCTCGGAGGGATAATTAATAGTGACTTAAATTGGTTTGATCACATAGTGTCGGTGTGTAAACGTGCAAACTCGAAACTGTTTTTGATCCGTAAATGTTTTATACGTATATCTCTGTCCTCTGTTAGTAAACTTTACTTAATATACGTTAGAACTATTCTTGAGTTTGCCGGACCAGTGTGGAATCCAGATCTCAGTCGCGATAAAATCCTACTGAAAATGTTCAGCATACAGCCACAAGACTGGCATACGGCAGTGTAAGACCTAAAGAATGGCTTGAAGATAGACTATCCATGGCTCATCTTACGACATTCTAGCAGCGACGTCTTCGAGGTTACCTAATGAATTATGTACTTCCGTATTTTAAAACATAATTTTGGAAACATAAACACCATATTCACTTTGAATCAAGACGAAATATTAAGACGCCATCGATACAAATTAAAGAAGGAACAAACTACTACAAGGTCCAGGGTAAACTTCTTGCAAAATAGAATCTTTAATATCTGGAACAATGTGGATCAAGACACCATATCGGCAAAAACTTGATAGCGCTTTATTTTATTTATAAAATTGTGTTATTTTCGGGCAGCATTCATTATTTATTATTTCACAATTCAATTTTTGTATGATATAACTAATTGTTTAAGTTTACTTAACTTTATAATTGGTATTAGTTTTATAAGGGTATTTTCTTTTGCTTTTTGGGCATAACAGTAGCTTACTCCTCTGCCCTTATTTGTTATATAATAATAATAATAATTTAAAGTAGTACAGTGCATGTCAAGATTTCGTGTTTTTTTTTCTCAACACGCTGGATTCGAAAAGAGCTGTAGTACTTGTACTAGCGACCACCTATTAACAAAGAAAACATCGTGTAGCATTATATCATTTATAGACTTTTAACTTATTTTTTAAATAATTTTTAGTGCGCTATCAAGTATTCTGTATCAGCTAGTTTACAAAAGATATGGACTGTTACTAGGGACGATTATTAACAAAGAAAATAATAATGAATCATACATGTTGTACCACATGTCATTTACAGACTTTTTAATTTCTTTTTTAAATTATTTTTGGTGCGCTTAATCCAACAATACTGGAACATACAGTATTGCAATTACAGCTGATACAATACTCAAAACAATAGTGAAAATATCAGATTTTCCTTATCAATTAGTCTTTAAAATACGTGGGCACGTTTTTGTCTTTCGTTTAGCTAACTAAAAATAAAGATACGTAATGTAGCCAAATGTAGAGCTTCTCTTCTTTCGGTACTATATTAGGTTCCCTTTCGGACCTCGATTTTACCTTTAATGATAAGGTTTTTGTAGCGATCTCCTCTAAGAACATGTCCTACTTATGAAACTTTTCTTATTTTAATAGTTTTCCATAACTCATGAACTGTCCAGGATATTTGGAGCATTCTTCTATGCAACCACATCTCATCACACAGCCAAATTTGTCCACTGTCGAACATAGGCCTCCTCAAGATGTCTCCACTCTTCTCTGTCCTGTGCAGCTGCGATCCAGTTTGTCACTATTCTTTTAATGTCGTCCGTCCATCTGGTAGGTGGTCTTCCACGATTTCGCTTGTCTGCCCTTGGCGGCCATTCTAAAATCTTCTTTGTCCATCTGTTGTCTCTCTGTCTTGCGACGTGTCCTGGCCATTTCCACTTCAACTTCGTAATCCGTTTTATGACGTCTTCCACTCCAGTTCTTCGCCGTATCTCATCATTTCGTATTCGGTCTCTCAAAGTTACGCCAAGCATAGATCTTTCCATTTTTCGTTGGAAGTACGCACTGGTTAAATGCCTTTAGCTTTATTGGGATGTTTTCCTTAAACACGTCTTTTAGTTTGTCTTTTAGTCTTTTTCCTTAAAAACACGTTTGGTTGTCTCTACTTATTTGTATTTCGTGGCCCAGATATATGTATTTGTCAACCGTTTCAATATGCCAGTTTTCTAGTTTCAATGGTCTACTAGGTACTAAGTTGGTCATCATTTTAGTTTTCGCAAAGTTTATTTCCAGCCCTACTTTTTGGGAGACTCGTTGTAAATCTTGTAGCATTTCGTTGGCCTCCTTTAGGTCGTCGGTTATTAGAACTATGTCATCTGCAAATCGTAGGTGGTTCAGCCTTTCGCCATCGACACTTAAACCTCTGTTTTCCATTCTAACATCTGGAATGCTTGCTACATTACGGCATTGAATAGTTTTGGTGACATGTTGTCTCCTTGTTTAACTCCCCTTTTTAGTTTTATTTTTTGAGTAGGGGTGTGGAGGTTTATTGCTGTTGTCGCATTTGCATATATATGTTGAATAATGCTGGTATATCAGTAGTCGATTCTACAATCTCTCAAAGCTCTTAAGATAGCTACCATCTTGATAGTGTCAAAGGCTTTTTTATAGTCAACAAATACTAGAACTAGTGGCCGGTTGTACTCTATAGTTTTTTTTTTAATTAGGGCCTTTAGACAAGTTAGATGGTCATTTGTACCATACCCAAGGCGGAAACCTGTCTGTTCTCTTGGTTGGCATGTTTCTAGTTTGTTCTCAATTCTGGCAGTGATAATTCGAGCAAATAATTTATACAGGTGACTTAGAAGACTGATTGGCCTATAGTTTTCGAGGTCTGTTTGATCTCCTTTCTTATGCATGAGGAGCGTTATAGAATTATTCCATTCAGCTGGTATTGCTTGGTTTTCTAAGCATATATTGAAGAGCTGCTTGATTGTCCTGATGAGAGCAGAGCCTCCGATCTTTAGCGCATCCGCCACTACTCCATCTTCTCCTGGTGCTTTGTTTTTTTTTCATTTTCTTTAGAGCATGGTAAATTTCAGCCGTTGATATGTCGGAATATCTTCTGAACCTTGATTCATAATTTTTTGTTCTGTATGTTCTGTCGGGTTTAAGTCCAATTTATTTGTGTATAGTGTTTTATAGAAGTCTTCTACTATCTCTAGCATTTCGTCTCTGTTGGACGTTAGTTTGCCATTCTTTCCCTTAAGTCTGATGATTTCTTTTCTGCTGTTCGTCAATTTCCTTCTTAATATCTTCATGCTCTTGTTGTGCTCGATTGTCTGCGAGATTTTCTCATTTTTATATGCCCTTATGTCCTTTCTAATTGCTTTTGAGACCTCTTTGTTGATTTTATTTATGCTTTGTTGTTCTATACTCTTGTCTTTTAGCATTTCTCTTCTTTCTTCCATTTTAAGTTTGGTGTTAGCAGTGATTCTCTTCTCTCTCTTGTTACCTGTACAACATTTTCTTTGAGCTTCTGCTATGATATTAGTAATTACTTTATTAACCACATCTCAAACGCTTCCAAACAATTCATTGTATGGGTCTTCAGAGTCCAAGTCTCGGTGCCATGAAGTAATACTGACTAACTATCATCGTCATCATTTTGGCTTTACAACCCTGTGTGGTTCTTAGCCTCCCCAAGAATTCTTTTCCAGTCGTGCCTATCCTGACTAACTAACTATAGCATTTGATTATTCTTTGACGAAGTTTTAGGTTCAAGCTGTGGTCACAGAAGAATTATTTCATTGTAAGAGACGTTATTTGTTCTGCTTCTGCATTTGATCTCTTTACCTGGGTCTTCTTCTTCTTTGTGTGCCGTGCTTGTTTTCAAGCGTTGGCTATCGCTGTATTGCCAAGCTGATAAATGTTTCTCGGTCGGCAGCTGGATACCCAGGGCATTCCTAAATCCAAACTAGGTTTCATCTAAGTCTAATTTAATGTGTGGCTCATAATTAAACTGTATTCGTCGCATCTTTTGTCCGCTTTTTCTTCGGAATTGATATAAAAACAGACTTAAGTCATTTCTCAGACATTCCACCAGTAGTATATACGTCATTAAAAAGCTTAACTAGAGCACTGATGTCTTGTATCATTTTTAAGAGTTCAGCTGGATTTTTGTCTGTCCCAGTTGCTTTCTTGGTTTGTTTTGACTGATTTTAATACATGAAAATCTTCAGATTTTAAAGTTTCAGATCCTTCTTCATTTACATTGCTCTGTCTTAACAGTATCTATGAATAAATAACAAGACTAACTATTAACAAGAGAGAGATGACGTAGTCTATCCGTTGTTTTGAAAAAACATTATTTATCCATTTTCGCCCATTTCCAATTAACATAACATAACAGTAATAATTGCTTGATTAAATATTAATTCTCTAGCAATAGATTTTAAAAAATTCCCTTTTTCCAGATATAAACTAAGACCAAGATGTTTAAGAAACGTAGAAAACATAGACTTGTCTACTGTCATCCTTGGAGAAAAGATTTCCATGCCCATTGGAATTGCTCCGACTGCTATGCAAAGGATGGCACATCCACTCGGAGAATGTGCCAATGCCAGAGGTAGGTAAAAAAGTAGTTTTAGTATATGTAGTGAGGTCTTCTGGAAACCTTAGAATCTTCTAACATTATTGCCACAAATTGGTAGCATTGATCTTGCAGTGATCCTTTCCCAAGTTAACATGCTTCTTTTCTAAATTGGCTGCACCGTACTGAAGACGACCAATAGTTAGAAATAGGTATATACGGTTGCCTTCCATCTTATACGCATATTTTGTTATATTTATATTATATAATATATATATATATATATATATATATATATATATATATATATATATATTTAAATTTATATATTTAATTCTAAATTAAAGTTGTAAGTAAATATGTTTTTATTTATTTTCTAGCTGCTCAAGCTTTGGGGATAATCTACACCCTTAGCACTCTTTCAACAAGCAGCATTGAAGAAGTGGCTGAAGCTGCACCCCATGCTGTGAAATGGTATCAATTATACATCTATAGAGACAGGTAAATCAACTACTTGTGCAGCTGAATTATGGTAGCCTACAAATATTTAGTATTAGAAGCGAAAAATGGGTATATCATTTGTTTTTTCCATTATTTTTTTCAATATAGTACTTTGTGTAATGTTTCTCCAATAACTGTCCTCAATTTTCGATTCTGATCTTCAAAATATTCATTTACACCTTGTATACTTACCAAGTGCATCCTAGTAGACAAAATAACTCTAGCGAAACGTGAAAATGGCTTATTCATAGTTTATATTCACCAATTATCTCGTCGCTAAAAGAGGACGTTGCATTACAGTCAAAAGAGTTTTTAATGATTTCTTTCTTAAAATGTTCATTTGCTTTTTAGAAATGTTACAAAAAACTTGGTCCTACGAGCAGAAAGAGCTGGTTATAAGGCATTGGTACTAACTGTCGACGCTCCTGTTTTTGGTCTACGTTTAGCAGATTTGAAGAACAAATTTACTCTTCCCCACATTTAAGGTAAACATAACAATTATCAGTTATTATTTAAAATATTAATAAGGTATCCAAATTTTATATTTTCAGATTGGCGAATTTCCAAGGACAAACATCTGAAATGAGCCAGGATCTAGAAAAAGGATCAGGTCTTAACAATTACGTAACGGATCTCTTCGACGCAACTATCAGCTGGGAAGATATTAAGTGGTTGAAAAGCATTACTAGACTCCCAATTGTTCTTAAAGGAATATTGACAGCCGAGGATGCTTTACTTGCTGTTCAAGCTGGAGTGTCTGCTGTTCAAGTATCTAACCATGGTGCTAGGCAAATAGACGGAACACCTGCTTCGGTATAGTATTTTATTTTGCCTTTAATAACTACCTATTTGCCTTTACATAACTATGTTTAGTATTACTATTTTACTATTTTAGATAGAAGCTCTACCAGAGATCGTAAAGGCAGTGGGGGACAAAATAGAGGTGTATGTTGACGGAGGAGTAACAGACGGCATTGATGTACTTAAAGCAGTGGCTTTGGGAGCTAAAATGACTTTTATAGGACGTCCAGCTTTGTGGGGTCTTGCTCATAGTGGACAACAAGGAGTTGAAAAAGTTCTCAATATTCTTAAAAACGAACTTAAAACTGCTATAGGAATCTCAGGTAAAAAATACATCGTGTAAGATTATTGTAATCTTAGGACATCAAATCAATTAAAATATTGTACAAATCAAGTCATTAAAAAGATAGTAAACCATAATGTTTTAAAAAGCATGTGGCTGTCTTCTAGTTTAAAATAAACTATTTTAATATATTTCATTCAAAACTGCTATTTCTAACACCCTTTGTGCCATCTCTGTGTCAGGTCGTCTTTCTGCTGCATATGTCGTTATTGGTATGATGACTGTTTTGTAAATTCTGCCTCTCATTTCTTTCCCGATAGGATTTCAATATTCTTTTGATTGATTTCTGAGCTTTTAGTGATCCCCAAATTTGGTCTAACAAATATGGTACTACCTTACTGGTTATGTTTTAATTCTGTCACTACTTGCATACCTGTAATTGTCTCGGGTGATCAGGCCCATTTGAAGGCACAGGATGTCGCATTTATGTTCTTTGCACAAAGACGCATTGAGTATTTGTGTTGGTGCTTACACGATAAGTGAAATACTTATCATGATAAGTCATGGTTGATTTTGATAAAAGCCATGTTCTGCTTTCGAGTGACATGTTAATTATAGTTGTAGTTCGTCGTTAGCAAAATTAGCGGCGTGTTGCCAGGCTCGATAGAAGGACTCGCGAGGTGAACGTTTCTGCTATGACTCCAACTATTTCAATAAAGCATAAAAATACTTTTCAAAAATTCTTCTGTGTAGCCCTCCTGGATTCCCGGTGTTTTTTTTTTCTAGGATCATGTCCCATCCGTAGATCAGAAAAAAATTTTATTTAGCAGATATAATTTCAAATAGTAACATATTTAGAAATCGAGAATATATACAATTGAAATAATTTTGCTACAAATGATTTTTTGTTTAATTTTGTAGGTTATTCAAAAATAAGTGACGTGCCCAGAGACTTGGTTGTGCACGAGAGTTATTACGCAAAACTATAAGAAGATTACAAACGTAGATGCTATGAAATGATAAACAACCTAGGAATTACAAGATCAATATATTTATCTATTACTATTATATTTTCTGTTTAATTTAATAAAAATACATATTTTGTGATATTAAATACTTGTTTAAGTACCAAATAAGTACCATTTCTAAGCAAATTCTAACATATTCGTCATTGCATTTGCCGTTGCCAACCCTACTGCTTTGATAGTAGATTAACTGTTTTCGCCATGGCATTCCTGTTTTCTGTTTTAGTTTGTCTTTCTACTGTTTTTTTTTTTTTTGGTGACGTATCCAAATTTTGAACTGCGTAAAAAATAATTAATTCCTAATCGCCATAGGTCACAACCAACATGTCAAACTTACATTTATATTAATATTTTATCAAATACAATAACCTTTTAGAAAAAGCAATAAAGATAGTTTTTGTATGCGTGGTCACGGGCCTTTTTACAATTGGTATCATCACAGAATATATCACCAAACAAGAAGCGAAATGAAGGGCTTTTTCGCAATCCAAATTTCTATGACAATCCGCCATGTTCTAAATAGTTTATCTTTCAACCTAAAAAACTGAAGTTTGTTATTTGTTTACATATTGAGAAATGTTGTTTCGTGTGTGTTGTTTAATAGTAAAAAAGAATAATACTGTTCTACATATTTTTGTAATAAACGCATTGTGATGACTACACGAAAAGGAGGATTTTGTTGTGTTGTTCTTGGGTGCCCATCTAAATCTGGTGAGGAAATAGGTAAGTCTCTTTTCAATACCGAGAGATCGTAGCAGGTAAACAAATTAAATTTGAAATTCAAACGCGTTACAAAAGTCATCTGAACATTTATATTTTAGTTTTATATATTTGTCCTTTTTTTGTAGAAAAAAATACAATCTATACAAAACATATCTACTTAAAAAACATAGTTTTGATGATTACTTCGTTTCTCAGTGTAACTATAATTTTACTATAGTTTTGAATGACGTCCTCATTACTTTTCTTAGTGTACTAAGTAGTTTAACTGCCATTGGGTGGAGTATTCTGTGGTATCATTAAATGTTTTGACTTTATTGCAACTGAGGTGTACTCGTATATGAAAAAAATCAAATAAATGAATGTACGATTTTAATAAAAAAAAATGATTACGAAAACGTTGAAGAGCGTGAAACTGAAAATCATAATGAGTAATATTTCTATTGTAATATAATGAATAATTTTGATTAAATCTTTTTCATTTTGGCTTTATTTACTTTACAATTCCCAAAAGTTCGATATAAAAGAAATTTGCGGTACCTAAATCTAAACAATAGGTGTATAACTATTCATCAATTCTATAAATGTTGTGTCAGACAAAAGATTTGATGTTTTGAAATTACTATTTTACTGTTTTCTGCTGTTTTTTAAGTTCTATTTGCGCATATTATTTTCCTGCTATTGGCAACACTTCACTGATTACAGCGCTTCTTTAAGAATTCGATACCTTTTTTATAAAGCGATTTGTCTTTGGCCTTATTATCCGCCCTAGTTTGCGCAATAACATCATCAGTTTATTCAAATATCTTTTCCCGAAACATTCAATAGTCGCTGCGAGCCAGATCGTTCGATGCGGAAGAAATTCGAAGTGCAGTTTATGCACTGCTGTCATAGTTGCGATCGACTTGTGACATGGTGCGCGATCGACTTGTGACATGGTGCATTATGTGAAAAATGGATGCGTGGCTTTTTTTATTTCTTTCACGAATGCGCTAATAAAATATTTGATATTTGCTTTGAACGGCCATCACCTGCTGCTGTCTACTCAGCTGATTATTGGTTTAACTTCGGAATAAAGTGGTGGGACAAAAATACTACTTTAAAGACCAGTTTGTTTTCCAATCATGTCGTTATAATTCTGATGATTATTTTATATACGTGGTGAAGGAAAAATATCGTAGGGCAGTTAAGTGTTATGTATGCGATGAAACAAATATGACAACATAGACAACTAATTTGCTATTTTCCTCTTTACAGACCACATTTCACTGCCTTAGACTGTCGCCCTGGTGCGTTTAGTGACCAACTAACGCGCACCTTGGCACGCATCGCCCGCCTTCTTGTATTTTATTCATTGTTCTATTGCACGAGAGGTCCAAAAATCTCATATAAAAGGTAAAATGTCTTTAAATATGGGATATTCCCATCCCACCACTACACGGAGAAAACGGAATTGTCTACACTGAACAAGACAAAGCAGAAGTCCTTAAAGATGAATTTGAAAAAGCATGCAGGAACAACGAACATCCACACGAAGACATCGACTTCACTATACAAGTTGAAAACACAGTCAGGAGGCTAAAAAGAAGACAGGGCAGAATCGGAATAACACATACATCTCCCGAAGAAGTCAAAAATCTAATAAAAGCGACAAATGCTAAAAAAACTCCAGGACCGGACAACATTGGTAAACAGAGCACTCAAGAACCTACCAACAAAGGGAGTAGTATACATCACAAACATCATTAATAGTATACTAAAATTAAGATACTTCCCGGACAGATGGAAAGCAGCTCATGTTATGATGATAGGAAAGCCAGGAAAGGACGGCACTTTTCCACAAAACTACAGATCTATTAGCTTACTATCATCAGTAAGCAAAATAGCGGAAAGAGTCATATTACATAGACTAAACGAAGAATCGCTAGCTTTGGGATCTATTCCAGAAGCTCAGTTCGGTTTCAGGAACGAACATTCATGTGAACTACAAGTTTTGAGGCTGACAGAATATATCACTAAAGGTTTCAACGAAAAGATGTACACAGCAACGGCGTTCCTCGACGTGAGTAAGGCTTTTGATAGGGTATGGCATCAAGGTCTGCTCTATAAAATGAGCAACCTAGGCTATAGTGAAGCGATGACATGTCTTCTTGCGTCATACCTAGCTAACAGAAGGTTCAGAGTTCGAATAGGTTCAACCCTATCTGAATTAGGGACCTTGGAAGCAGGTGTGCCCCAGGGAGCGGTGTTATCGCCTTATCTGTACACTATCTATACAGCTGACACTCCGACAGACCCGAGAACTATGGTTAGCCTATATGCGGACGATACAGCCATAGCAGCTAGCAGTAGAGATCCAAACCTAGCTGCCAGCCACCTACAAAACGCTCTGAATAGGGTCCAAAGATGGTGCGTAAAATGGAAAATTGCACTAAATCCTGACAAGACACAGGCCGTTATGTACAGACACAGAATAAGGAGACCAGACAGGGAAATCACTATAGGAAACACCCCTGTAGAATGGACGATCGAGGCCAAATATCTCGGAGTCATTTTAGACAGAAAACTCACTTTCACGGAACACGTAAAACAAACTATCTACAAAGCAAAAGTACTAAGAAGTCAACTCTCTTCGCTAATCGGCAGAAAGAGCAAAACTTCGCTTTAAGACAAAAATGAGGGTAGCTAATAGTATAATACTACCCTCCCTAACATATGCATCTGCCGCATGGGGACACACATGTAAAACGAATAGGAAGAAAATCCAAACAACACAAAACTGGATAATCAGAGAAGCACTGAACCTACCTCAATATGTTCCACTGAGGTATTTATTCAGGGACTCTGGACAGAAAAGAATCCTAAGGACAATGGCCGAAAGAGCAAACACCATTTTCAATGGTCTCGTAAATCATCCAAGCAGGACATTAAGAGAGTTGACAAACTACGACATAAACACTAGAACGGTACATAAACGGCCAAAGCAACAACTTATTGGATATAGAGAAGAAGGATAAATGAAGAAAGAGATAGACACAAAGCCGACTACAGAGTATATTAGACAGTGAGCACCAAAAAAATATAGTATATAAGAACAATATACACCGGGGTGTGTGCAGGCACTATACACCTTGGAATGCACACCCCACCACACGCACACTTAGGTTAGATTAGGTTTAGATTAGAATAGGGAAAACAAAAAACACAAAAAAACATATACACGGAGTGTGTGAGAGCGTTATACACTTGGGAATGCACACTCCATAGTTAAGGTATTAGCATAGATAGACTTAGTTTTTAAAAAACAAAAATCGCTCACTGTCTAATTAATGTCATGTCATCTTCAAGATAAACAAAAACACCCGTTACATCACAAAAATTTACATAACACCAATAAGAATGTATAAAAGGCCCGTGAGGCACTCTATACCAGCCAGCAGGCACAGGCCCTTCAGGCAGATCAAATATTGATCAAACGCGGACTCTGAGCATCGAGGTCATGTGCGGCAAGCATGGGCTCGGTGGCCAGGACTCACTTCTCGAACACCCAGCCGGCGAGGAGAACAAAATTTTTATTTTGTCAAATCGGCGACTGAGTGAACGAGCACACACATTCTTTTCCAGACAGAGAGCTGTCGGTCTAGACCGATGGCTCTCTGTCTGGAACACACGCTCTGTTTTAGGGACATGAGTCCCGAAGTAAAGCTAGAGTAACTTCTATAGGGTCAGTAAAGTTAAATAGGGAGAAAAGCCGACATGTGTGCTACCCCTACAGTTAGGTGACCTAACCACAGTCATTAAAAACAGAAGGTGTCTCATTACCCAAGACACCTTACGTAACATTCAGATCATAAGCCTCCTCACGTAAGTCACACGCTGAGGAGGGGTGGAGGAAAAGCCTGGGGGTCAGATAGGTACCACCTCAACTAGTGAGGTGTAACCGGTTTGATTTTCGGACATGTGGATCCCACTCTTACAGTGGTATACATATGTCGCTAGGGGTAGGGTTGATCGCCTCGCGTGATTGTGTGTGTGAATATGGGATATTTCGGATCTCAAGTCAGTCGAAGTCGGTCCTTCACGGACTCTCCTAGAGCACTTCGCTCTAGGGGCTCTACTCTTGTTTTCTTAGACTCTGTGGTCGAGTCTCTATTTCTACTGCAAATACGAGTTTTATTTTAACCCAGCTGTTAATAATAAATAGATCTTGTCTTTTTCAAGACGGGATCAAATATACAGAGCGTCCGAAGTGGTATTTTGATGCTTTTATCCAAGATAATACCCTTTTGGTACGACAAGACCAACGCAAGCCTCAGGATACTCTTGTATATCTTTTCTTTCAGCTATTTTTCAATCATAGAGTACCACGCTCATTTACTTCCAGTTAAAACAACTAGCCTATATCCTGTGGACAATTTCTCGATCTAGTATTCCATTTTTTGTTATGTAGGAGCCAATAAATTTAAATTCTCCCACTTTTTCTTTTTTTTTCCCCTAGCAATTCGACATCCCCAACCATTTCTGTTCCATCTAACTACATTTACTCCATTTTCTAACTGCTTACCTTAACTCCTCCCTTCAATAGTTCCTCTCCAATCCACCAACATTTCTTTGCTCTCTTCCAATAAGACTATATTATCCGAAAAGAGCATTGATCAAGGATCCCGAAATACTAGTTATTACAAATAAAATGATATCTTTGGATGGTAAAATGATTGCGAAAAGTAACAGTTTTTAGTAACTAGAATCGGTAATAGAGAGTACTGGGAGAATAGATGGAGATGTATACTAGGATGAATTAAGTAGAAGGAAACGAGTAGTGTGCTCTATGACAGAAAAACTCCAATGAAGCTAAAGTGAAAATTCGATAAAACAGCCAAAAGACCAGCTGATGTACGGAAAAGAATGTTGGGCAGTTAAAAGGAAAGAAGAACAACGAATCCATGTGGCGGAAATGAGAATGCTTAGATGGATGAGTGGAGTGACAAATAAGGATAACATTAAGAATGAATATATTAGAGGAAGTCTAGGGCTGGCACCAATTGATGCCAAAATGGGAGAACATAAGTTAAGATGTTCCTATTTTCCCTTATTTTTCCCATTGCTACATATGCAGCTGAAACATGGACTCTCAAAAAAATCGATAGGAGTAAGATCGAAGCCTTCGAAATGTGGGTATATAGAAGAATTCTACGCGTGTCCTGGTCAGAACATAGAACCAACCTGTCAATTCTGTAAGAGCTTCATATAAAAGACAGGCTACTAAAAAAAGTAAACCAAGCATACCTAACTTACTTCGGCCACATAGCTAGAAGAACGGGCACCATGGAACTATTGGTAGTAGAAGGAAAGGTAGAAGGCCAAAGACCAAGAGGAAGATCTCCAATACGATGGGTAGACCAAATGAAGAGTTTGGTGGGAAAATCCCTACATGAAGCCGTCCATATGGCACAAGATCGCAGTCAATGGAGACAGCAGACTAACAATATTTAGGGTGTCACTACGCCCTGACAAGGGCTAAAGGATTGAGGAGGAGGAAGTTAAGATGGTTTGGTCATGTTTATAGTCGAGACGTCAATCACACAATACGATGAATTGCTGATTTGCAGGTTCTTGGGAGGAGTAAGAGAGGAAGAGTAAAGAAGACCTGGGGGTTAGGTAGGCTTTATTTTTCAATATCAGTTATACTAGCGAACAATTACCTAATGATTGGTCCAATTTACTCTTCAAAGCACACAAATAAAACACTTTTATTAATGCCAAAAAATATATTTTCATGTAGGTATAACTTTTAAGTAAATATGTGTTTTATAATCTACGAGTACTTTGGTCATCTTAAAGCTTTGCATAATAACTTTCATGTACCACCAAGCTTCTGTCAATTTGATCTACTTTTGAATAACCTGCAAATAAAAAATATTATTTTAGAATTAATTATTTTAGAGAGAGAAATATAATAAAGAGTATGTACAAGGTACAGTAATATATTTACAGATTTTTTGAAACTCGAAGTATTATATCATTGGATCTTTCACTGCAGCTGATTAATACCTTCTTCAATATATATCAATAGAAGTTAGCAGTTCTTCTTCTTCTTCTTCTTCTTCAGCCTGTGTTCGTCCACTGCTGGATATAGGCCTCTTCCATTTGCTTCCATCGATTTCTACTTTTGGCAATTCTCGTCCACTGCTTGCCCGCGACTTGTTTGATATCGTCTGTCCACCTCTTCTGCGGTCTGCCTACTCCTCGCCTGTTCTCTCTTGGTCTCCAGTTTGTTAATCTTTGTGTCTATTTTTCGGGATTATCTCGGGCAACGTGTCCGACCCATTGCCACTTGAGCCTTGCAATACGTTCTAAGACATCAGTAATTTTTGTTCTTTCACGAATGACGTTATTTCGAATCCTGTCTCTCAAACTAATCCCTAGCATGGCCCTCTCCATTGTTCTTTGGGTTGTACTGAGCTGCTCTAAGGTTTTCTTTGTGAAGGCCATGGTCTCCAGTCCATATGTAGTTACAGGCAAGATACATTTGTCATAAACTCTACGTTTTAGACACATTGGTATATCTTTATTCTTCAAAATAAAGCTTAATTTGCCGAAAGCTCCCCAAGACAGTTGTATGCGTCTTTTTATTTCGGCTATTTGATTTTCTTTGCCGATTTTAATGGTATGTCCAAGATATATATATATATATATATATATATATATATATATATATATATATATATATATATAATATATATATATATATATATATATATATATATATATATATATAGTGGTCTACATTTTCAAGACTGAGGTTGTCAATAACAAGATTAGTTTGTAAATTACTCATTATTTTTGTTTTCTGAAGGTTCATTTTGAGACCTATTTTATTTGACTGCTGGTTTAATTTCCTTCAACATTTGCTCCAGTTCCTTGATATCTGTACTAAATAATACTATGTCATCCGCAAACCTCAAATGACTCAAACGTACACCATCAATGTTTAGACCTTTTTCCTCCCAGTCAAGCTGTTTGAATACATTTTCCAATGCTAAGGTAAAAAGCTTTGGTGAAATAGTATCACCTTGTCTAATACCTTTATCAAGGCGCATTTTTTCAGTTTTTTCGTCTTCATCGGTTTTGATGTGGAATGTGGCCTGTTCATAAATGTTTTTAATGAGTGTAGTGTACCGTGAGTCTATTCGAGCATTCTTCAGGGCTGACAAAAAGGACCAAGTCTCAATACTATCGAAAGCCTTGTGAAAGTCGATAAATGCCATATGTAAAGGTACATTATATTCTGTGGTTTTTTCTACTAGTGTTCTGATGGTTTGTAAGTGATCATTAGTACCAAACCCTTTTCTAAATCCCGCCTGTTCAACCGGTTGATATAAATCAAGTTTTTGTGTTATGCGGTTGGTTATTATTCTTGTTAACAATTTGTATAAGTGTGACAACAAACTTATAGGTCTGTAGTTTTCAATATTAGTAGTGTCTCCTTTCTTGTGTAAAAGTATTATTTCGGCGTTTTCCCATAGGCTGGGTATTCTTTTTTCTCTTAGACACTTATTCAGTAAGACTTCCACAACTTCTACAACGATGTTGCCGCCCATTTTTAACATTTCAGACGTTATACGATCCTCGCCAGGAGCTTTTTTGTTTTTCATTTGCTGTAAGGCATGTCTAATTTCCGAAGAGGTTATTTTAGGGAGGGTTTCCGAGCCGACGTTTAGAATTGTTCTGTGGTCTGTTTCGGGGTTCTGTATAGTAGATGTATAACGATTCTTATAGAACGTTTGTATTTCCTTGATTATTTGAGTTTTTTTCGGTCACCGTATTCCCCTGTTGATTTTTGATTTTAGTTATCTTTGATTTTCCTTTAGTTAAATTTGATTTCAATACTCTCATGTTTCTATTGTTTTCGATGGTTTGCAATATTTGTTTTGTTTTATAAGCCCGCAAGTCTGACCTTATGCTCTTTTTAACTTTATTGTTGATAGCTTTATACTCTGGTAATTCTTTCGATGTTCTTCTTCTTTCTTCCATTAAATTAAGTGTTGTTTGTTTCAGTTTCGTTTTTCTGGGATTTTTATTTTTATCACAGATCTTTTTTGCAGTTGATGTTATGTCATTCGTTAATTTTTGTGTTATTTCATTTATTGAAATATGTTTATTATATTTATTGAAATATTGATATATTAAAAAAAAAGTTAGCAGTTACAGTGCTATATAACATTGGGCTATCACTATTTATAGTGATAGCCCAATAGAAGGCATTTTTTGTTATCTTTATTAAATTATAACCTTCATCAAATCCTTACCTGATATTCCTAAACCGGTCCTAAGTTCGTTTTTAAGAATATTGAGAACTCTCTCGACTCCTTGTTGTCCACTATGAACCAGTCCCCATAAAGCAGATCGTCCTACAAGAGCCATCTTGGCACCAAGAGCAACTGCTTTGAGAACATCAACGCCATCTGTCACTCCGCCGTCGATGTAAACTTCTATTTTTTCACCTACCGCCTTTACTACCTCACAAAGAGCGTCAATCTAAAATGATAATATAAATAAATATGAAATATACAGATGTTGGTTACTTGTCTCTAATATTTCGATTTAACGTAGAATTCATACAGTTCGATCTGTATAAAATTGTATAAAATATAACATGAGAAGAAGAAAACCGTACCTGAGACAGTTCCACAACAATATTAGTAGATCAACCAATTTATTATAAAGTTATATAAGTGACACATAAATCGAAGATCTGGGTGATCAGATCATATGTTCCAAATCTGTCATTAAAAGAATTTCATATTTTTTGCAAAATTTTTAATAGGCAATAATATTATACGACTATTTGTACATATGTACGGGTGGTCCAATACGCCGATCTCTCGGCTATATATCAGAAACTATTCATGTTATTGCTTTAAAATCATCTTCACGGAAGGATGAATTGCGAATTCCCGGCGCCAAAAACGGGGACCTTTTGGCTATGGAATGGTAACCCAGACAGAAGAGTCCAGATGGAGAAAACCAGCTTTTAAAAAATCCGCAATTCAAGCTGGAAGACATCGCGGCGAAGGATGAATGGCCATGCGTAGTTGGTCGAGAGCGATTCCTGTGAGGAACCAGGCGACACCTCACAGTAATTAGCCTTACTCGGGCATGCGGGGCTCTGCTCGAGTGGACTGCAATTCCCTAGCTACTCGTGGGAACAATATGGAAAGTAATATGGAAACCAATATTCCCGAACAACCCGTAGTAGAAAGCCCTGAAGGCACCACTACGCAGATAGCGAAGCCGACCAAAAGGGAAGGCGGTCAGAGTCACCTCCCTAGAGGAGGTGGATCTAATGACAGACGAGGAGGTTATTGAGGCCAGGCTGGCCGGGGCCTCCAAGAAGAAAGTAAGGGATCTGGTGGGAAAAGGCCAGGATTACATTGAAGCCAAGCGGCTCGGTGATCAAGGCCAACTTCACCAAGGTGCTTGGACGACAGGAGGACAATCCCCCTAAGTCTAAAGAGGAGGCGGAGCAAAAGCTGGAAATGGCTACGCAAAAGCCTACAAAGAAGCGACAAAGGTCGGACCACAGTACGCCGCCAGCGGAAGCCAAAAAGAGGCCGAGGAAGTCAGAAATGACTTTTACACAAGCCCTTTGCTCGGCAAAGGTGGCTGTAGTATGTGATGGCTTCCCCGGAGTCAAGATGGAACCACACAAGCTTAAGGCAGTGCAAACATCCATCTTAGAGGCTCTGGAGAGAACGCCAGAAGAAGGGCCGCAAATCAGGCTGCTAAAAGAGCACGTTCAAGCCCGGTTACCTGGTAATGACGTGCGCGGATAGTGCAAGCGCACAATGGCTCAGGGACACTACTCCCACTCTGAAGCCTTGGGAAGGTGCAAGCCTCCAGGCTAAGGACGAGAGTGAAGTCGAGAGGCCGTGTTCTTGCACTGTCTACATCAAAGACGAAGACGGAAAGAGGCTGGAGGCGGAAAGTGTGCTGACTCGATTAAGGGTCAGCAACCGAAAGACACAACACCCTTTTATGGACCGTTTTGGGCAAAACACCTGCAGAAAAAAGGGCAGGTATGGGTCTTCTCAATGGACAAAGAGTCCTTTGAGGAACTCAAAAAACTTCAAATGTGTCCTTACTTTGGCATCGGAAGAATTAAATTCGTGTCAAGGATGATGGGCACATTAAGAAGGTTGCAGAGGACGGACCATCGGGGTTGCAAGGCGTAACTGCCGCAACCTCGGCAGTCAAGGCTAAGCAAAAAAGAAAAGAAGTCAAACCTTCAGAGGGGCAAAGCTCTAAAGCAGTGCCAAAGAAGGTTAACACTTCGACCAAACACAAGGCTCGCCCTAAGGATGATAAGTCGAGGGAAGGAGCTAAAGAAGGAATAATCCCGAAAGAAGTCCGTACCGACTTGCAGGGGAGTGCTACAAACCCGCCCAGAAGGCTAAAAGCCACTGAGCGGGTGGCCGCTCCCATGGAAGGGGTAGAGGACACGGGAAAACCCGAAAGTTAGCCTTCAGTTTAGAGGAAGGCAGAGTAAAGGTCCTGCAGGTCAACCTTCATCATGCTAAAGCTGCGTCGGCGGTTTTGTGCAGAAGGTTTGACATGGAAGGCCTGGACTTAGCCCTACTGCAGGAACCATGGCTCCACGGAGGGAAGGTTGCAGGCTTGAAGCCGCAACAAGGTAAGTTACTATACGATGCGAAAGGAGAGACACCTCGAGCATGCATTGTATATGGTAACGAAGTAAAACTGTACACTGATTCGGATCTTTGCTCCGGAGACTTGCTACAGGTATTTTAACGCTTCCACCGAGGAAGGTAGTAAAAGATGGTTGGTCTGTTCTGCCTACTTCGCTGGAGAGAAGGTCTTCCGCCCAGGCATAGTAGAGGACGTTTATAACCTACAGCCGAAGGGAGAACCTTCATCTAATACTGGATGTGATGCCAATGCCCACCATCTGGCATGGGGAGTACGAACATCAACAGTCGAGGTGAGTCTTTACTACAGTTCATTTCAAGCATGGGTTTAGAAATAGCCAATATAGGAAATAACCTACCTTCGTTACGGCCACGCGCAAAGAAGTCTTAGATGTAACACTTTGCAGTGAAAAAACGTACGATACTATAAAGAATTGGCATGTGTCAGAGGAACCTTCATGTTCCGACATAGGCACATTCGATTTGATTTAATTACTTCGACTCGAATGGTGGCAAGGTTCAGGAACCCGAGAGAGACGGATTGGGAAGGCTATAGAGGCTCACTCGAGAAGTCTCTTGAGGGAGGAATCGGCACCATAAAAGATACGGAAGATCTCGAACTGACAGTCGAAACGGTGAGGGGAGCTGTTCTGGCCGCTTACCAGGAGAATTGTCCAGAGAGAGAAAAGAAAGGAAAGAAAAACACACCCTGGTGGAATGAACACTTACAAAAGCTTAGGGCAGATGTAAGAAGGCTATTCAATAAAGCCAAATTCAACCAGGACTGGGCCATTTATAGAGAAAAAATGACGCAAATATAATATGGAGATCCGAAAAGCCAAAAGAGACTCGTGGCGAAAGTTCTGCGAGGAAGTCAAACAGGCTCCCGCATGTTCCAGAATCCACAAGGTCCTGGCTAAGGATGGTATTGCGAATCAGGTCGGCCTCTTGAAGAAAGAGGACGAAACGTATGTAGAAACCCTGGAGGAAAGCTTAATAATGCTCACCAAGGTACATTTTCCAGCTCATCCATTGACAATAATCCTTCGGTAGAGGTGGCTCATCCCAGAAGGCCTACTAAGGCAGACTGGAAATTAGCTACCGACATCACGAGACCGGAAAAAGTCAGGTGGGCCATCATAAATTCCAGCCATACAAATCACCTGGAATGGACGGGATTTATCCAGTCTTGCTACAGAAGGGACAGGATGTGATCATCCCGCATCTAACAAAGATCTTCAAAGCTAGTTTGGCATGGAGATATATTCCAACCGCATGGCGAAGGGTGAAAGTCACATATATCCCCAAGGTTGGTAGGGTAATGGACCAGACCCCCAAGTCATACAGACAATAAGTCTATCCTCTTTCCTAGCAAAAACGTTGGAAAGATTGATAGACAGGTATATTAGGGACGAAGTGCTGATGGAGAATCCACTTAGCGATCGCCAATATGCATACCAGCCAGGAAAGTCAACTGACTTGGGCGCTGGATGATCTTAACAGACTGCTCTCAAAGTCGCTAGATGACAAGGAGATAGCGGTGGCGACGTTTCTGGACGTGGAGGGAGCGTTTAATAACGTCTCCTTCGAGTCTGTAACGAACGCGCTTAAAAGGAGAGGAGTTCCTGCCTTCATATGCGAGTGGACAAAGGCGACCTTAACAAACAGGATCATTGTGTCCTCGTTAGGTGAAGCCACTATTGAAGCGAAGGCAGGAAGCGGCTGCCCACAAGGAGGAGTTTTATCCCCATTACTGTGGGCTACGCTTATGGACGACCTACTTAATACACTGTCCAGGGAGGGTTTTTACTGCCTGGGTTATGCGGACGATTTGGTAATTGTAGTCCGAGGACGCTTTACCAAAATAATTTCGGAGAGACTTCAAGTCGCTCTGAGGATGGTGGACAGCTGGTGTGAGGAAGAAGGCCTAAAGGTTAACCCTAAAAAAACATCTGTTGTTCCCTTCACCAGGAAAAGAGCACTGCAAGGCTTACAACCACTAGCGCTCAAGGGAGTAGAAATCCCATTCACAAGTCAGGCCAAGTACTTAGGTGTAATATTCGACCAGAGGCTGACATGGAATGCACACATTCAGAAAGTCACACAGAAGGCCACTATGGCCCTGAATACATGTAGACGAATGTGTGGTAAGAATTGGGGGTTAAATCCTAAAATGAACCTCTGGTTATACACAAGGGTTATAAGGCCCATGATAACTTATGGTTCAGTGGCGTGGTGGAACAAAACGCAACAGTCCGGGGCGATTCGATTGCTCAGTAGCACACAAAGGCTTGCATGCTTGAGTGTTACAGGAGCCATGAGAACAGCCCCAACGGACGCGCTAGAAGTTCTGCTAAACCTACCACCTCTACATATATACATACAGAGTGAAGCCAGATCAACAGTACATCGGTTGATCCAAGGCCAAGCTCCAATAAGTACGATGCAGGGAGCTGATAACTTAAGGCTATACCAGGACATAAAGGCAGACCCCGTTCTAGGAATGCCTGTAGACCGAATGGTTACGAGGTATAGTTTTAACAAAAATTTTCAAATTACAATACCAAAAAGAGAGGACTGGGAAACTGGTCCGCCGCTAACAGCAAACTCAATATGGTATACGGACGGCTCCAAAACGGATACAGGTACGGGGGCTGGAATATATGGCATAAAACCAAGGACGGAAGTCCGGGTATGTCTAGGAACATACGCGACCGTATTTCAAGCCGAATTAGCTGCTATACACAGGTGCGCTATGGAACTAATCGGCCGAAATGTAGATAACGACTCCATCGTCATCTATTCGGATAGTCAAGCGGCTCTAAAGGCTCTCAGTTCGGTAGAGGTCGATTCATGGCTGGTATGGAACTGTTTGGATGTCCTCTCTCAGGTAGGAAGTCGAAACAGGTTGACACTTGCCTGGGTGCCGGGACATAAGGGCCATCGTGGCAACGAGAAGGCCGACGAATTGGCCCGAGAAGGCGCATCTACGCCACTGGTTGGTCCGGAACCCTTCTTTGGAATCGCAAATACGATAAAAAGGGCAGCCATACACAAATGGGTGCAACAGAAGTCTCTTGAGTGGTGGAACAACTCACCAGGACAGAGGCAGGCCAAACAGTTCATCAAAGAACATTCGGCTAAATTTACAGCAGACTTACTTTCGCACAGACGCAGGACTGTCAGAATGATAGTGGGTCTGCTCACTGGGCACTGTAGACTCAATAGACACTTGAGTCTCATAGGCCTGACAGAAGAGGACACCTGTCGTTTCTGTCTGGAAGAAGAGGAAACCGCTCTACACGTTCTGTGCCATTGCGAAGGTCTCGCACGAATGCGGTTTCTAGAACTCGGAGAGGAAAAACCGGAAGCACCAGGCTACATGAAAAGGCCACTATCAAGGCTGTTGAGTCTCATTAAGAGGACCAAGCTAGATGAAGTGCTTTAAAATAAGGGGGGAACACAATAGATCTGCAAAGGTCGCAGTGTATCAGGCTCTATTGGCCGCCCCATTTTCTACATTCTACATTCTATTGCTTTAAAAAAAATTCCTTAGTAAAAGTGGTCAAGAGAAATCGCTGGAAATAACTTTCAAGTTTCTGGGTTAACCGCTAGGGGGCGTAACCTGTGAATAAAAATTTGAAAACCAGTTTTTTGTGAAATATGCCGAATTATACCAAGTGTTAAATAAGTAAACTAGAAAGAGGCCTAAATTCCGCACAAAGCTGTTCAAGTTCTTTTTTTTTTATTTTTTCAAATAAAGTGTGGGGGAGAGTGGGAAAGTATTTGTGGATAAATACCTATAACTTTGGTTTGGATCAACCGATTTTAACGAAATTAGTGTTATTAGAATGAGTGTGGATGATTTAATTTACATTTACTATAAAACAATTGCATTTAGTTTTAATTGTCATGGGTAGAGGGTACTTTTGAATAGAAAAAATTAAAATTTATTTTTCTTTAAAATGTTTAATGAAAACACCTATTTATTATAAATTATAATGGAACTGGATAAAAGTCGTAACAAAATGGCGCAAACCGTATGTTGATAGCTTTTGTAGAACTCGAGATATGAATAAAAACGCATAAACATAAATAAGTATAGTATTGATTCACCCTGTATTATAAATTAAATTAAAAAATAAGTCAGTACGTACTTTCAAATTTTTTTATAGTAAAAGAATCTTAATGTTGATACCTATTTTGACCATTGGTATTTTATATGATTAAAAATAGTTTTTTCGAAAGTGTTATATTATAATCCGAATTGAAGATTGCATTTTTTGACTCACCCTTTATTATAACTGAAAATTAAATATGTGAAAGATCATACAAATATCTCGATCATTAAAACTTAATGTCCAATTAAATGTTTAAATTGTTTTCCATCATTGTTCACACCAAGATGTAATCTTTCGCGCGTAGACATAACAGCTGCTTCAATCTCAGCTGTTGATATACTATTTATTCTGTTTATAATGCGCTGTTTCATCTCGACTCGCGTGGTTGGTCAAGTTTGGTACACTAAGTCATTCAATCTTCCCGACAGATAAAAGTCCAGATATGTTAAGTCTGGAGATTCCCCTTCCAATCCATTTATTTGGATACAAATAATCTCGAACTCATCTGGAAAAGTGCGCAGGACACCCATCATGTTGTAATATCATATCTCTTCTTGTTTTTAAGGAAATATCTTCCAATAAAACAGGCAACTGATTTTCCAGAAAATTAAAATATTTTCGCCATTTAAAGTTATATCAAAGAAATATGGACCTACGATCTTTCCATCAGCTATACCACACCAAACATTAAGACTCTTTCTACCTTGAACCTGCACCTCATGTATCCAATGCAGATTTTCTTTAGCCCAATAATGCATATTATGCAGATTAACACAACCCGCACTATTAAACGTAGCCTTGTCTGTTCACAAAATCTTTGACATGATACGCGATTGTTCTTCTAGCAGACCTAACATCCAATTGTAGTAATCCAGCCTTGCATCAAAATCTCTCTCATGTAAAGCTTGGGGATAACTACATGATAAGGATGCAGTCTAAAAAAAACAGAACAACAAATATTGGTGAAAAAAAAACCACTATATTTACAAAAATCTTGAAAAATCTACAATTGTTTCACAAGATAAATCGTGCATAAGTATTTTTAAGAAACGGATAAAAGGATGAAAACGCCGTGTTGCCGTTTTTATCGGAACATTAAAATAACAGTTGAATCTAAAGTTTAAAGGGAATTCCAAGTTTCTGACCTAAACGTTCACTTTATAATATGAAAAACCAACCTGTGATGTTTTAAAATTCTTAGAACAGTAGTTTTGGGTATGTTTAATTCTATAGAGATTTGCCGACTACTTATATGTGGATTCTGTTGAATTAAAGCAAGAACATTGATTGTATTATCTTCGGTCATACCTCTACTACATAGTTTAAAACAAGGACTATGAAAAGTACCAGTTTCTCCTTAACTTTTCTCTTACCTCTTCTTCTTCTTTCTTTCTTCTTTCCTTACCTCTTCATTTCTTCTTACATTTCTTTCAAATACTTCTTTGCCATAATGTCTCCTATCTGGATATCTTACAGAATGTGAGGCAATAGCGGCATTTTGGTGACATTCGAAATAAACTCCTATCATATCATACAATTCTGCATTTGATATACTCATCACGGATTATTAGTACTCATAATTAATTACTGATATTACCAATATTAATATCTATTGAAAAAAGTGTAATCTTCAATTCGGATTATAATATAACACTTTCGAAAAAACTATTTTTAATCATATAAAATACCAATGGTCAAAATAGGTATCAACATTAAGATTCTTTTACTATAAAAAAATTTGAAAGTACCTACTGACTTATTTTTTAATTTAATTTATGTGTCAATACTATTACTTATGTTTATGCCTTTTTATTCATATCTCGAGTTCGACAAAAGCTATTAACATGCAGTTTGCACCATTTTGTTACGAATTTAATCCAGTTCCATTATAGTTTACAATAAATAGGTATTTCCATTAAACATTTTGAAGAGAAACTAATTTTATTTTTTTCTATTCAAAAGTACCCTCTACCTATGACAATTAAAACTAAATGCAATTATTTTATAGCAGATGTAAATTAATTCATCCACACTCTTTCTAATGACACTAATTTCGTTAAAATCGGTTAATCCAATCCAAAGTTATAGGTATTTATCCACAAATACTTCCCCACTCTCCCCACCGTTTATTTGAAAAAATAAAAAAAAGTACTTGAACAACTTTGTGAAGAATTAAGGCCTCTTTCTAGTTTATTTATTTAACACTTGGTATAATTGGGCATATTTCTAAAAAAACTGAATTTCAAAGTTTTCTTCACAGGTTACGCCCCCTAGCGGTTAACCTAGAAACTTGAAAGTTATTTCCAGCGATTTTCTTGGCCACTTTTACTAAGAAATTTTTTCTCCTAAAGTTATAACATGAATATTTTCTGATATGTAGCCGAGCGATCGGCTTATTGGACCACCCGGTACATTACAATTAGATTTTGTTTATGTCTGTATTAATAGATCTAAAAATATAAAAAAGAAAATATATTTTATACCGCAGCAGGTGTTCCATCCAACTGCCTAGATCCATGGTTAGAAACTTGAATGGCAGCTACCCCAGCCTCGACAGCGAGTAATGCATCCTCTGCAGTCAATATTCCTTTAAGAACTATGGGAAGATTTGTAATGCTTTTCAACCACTTAATGTCTTCCCAGTTAATAGACGGATCGAATAAATCAGTAACGTAGTTGTTAAGACCTGATCCTTTTGTGGGGTCCTGGCTCATCTCGGAAACTGTGCCTTCGAAATTCGCCAATCTAAAAACTATGTGTTGAAAAATAATCATAACATGTTACAAATTTGAGAATGTATTTGAGAAGAAACTAGTTTATTTTTTGTGAGGAATAACACCCAAAAATTTACGAATAAAATCGTAGAAACTGTTAAAAGTTGAACAAGTAAACAAGTGATACTATGGCCAAAATGTTATAAATGCTTAATTTAGTTCATTTTTTTTCTTCTATATTTTCGTAGATCTTCTAGCAGGTCTTTAATATTAAAGATATTGCATAAAGATAACGCAATCAATCATAAATCCATATTTAGAAAGCATCAACTTTCAAATGTCAAATGTCATCTGTCAAATTATAAGCGCAATTATATTGTGGCAAATTAACACTTAACTGCCTGTCACACATGGGTTGACTGTGCTGTTGAAGCGAGTGAAAGCGAGTGTCGGTGCCGAAAGACCGACTGGCAAGAAAACACAAAGAAGAGAAGGCAGTTAGCTGATCCCTGTCAGAATAGGATCTAATTCGAAGAAAGGAATATCATTATTTTCTTAAATGTAGACCACCCTGCAAGTTACAAAAAACAATCAAAGGGCGCAGTAATGGCGCGCAGTAATCGATCAATCACATACCACGTCACCTTTTTATTTCCAATGATGCTCTCCAACTTCAGTTTCTTATCGATACAGGGGCAGACCCAAGTATGCTTCCACCATGGACGTATAAACACAGATGGACTCAGTTATTTACATAAAATTGTGAAGTCAAAATTATTTGAATAGGTCACATTCTGAGCACCTTCAACTGTTGTCACGTTTTGTTTTAAAATTTCTTATTCGCGAGTCGCTGAAAATATTACTCCGTATTTTATACTCTACAGGTGCTATCAAACCAAAATAATAATTTATTGGTTATATTAATATATTTAATTGTAATCAAAATATCATGTGTGCGTGCACATAGTGTGCGTTATCATTTAATAATAGCGTATAATAGATATCAATCAATTATTTTATATGTAGAAGCACTGAAAACTATTTATAAATGCCAACGGTTGTTTACATTTCTCTGTCTCATGGATCTACGTCAAACTTCAAATGCTGTTCCATGTTTGTTTACTTTTAACAGTAAATGAGGAAAAAGTTATTTTTCGATATTTTGGCTGTATTTTGAGTGATATTTGTGAAAAGTGAAATAAAATAAACGAAATATTTACATCCCGATCTCTCATTTCATTTGTAAGTACATACAATTTCCATTATTTAAGATGAGGAAATGAGGAAGCGTGTTTGTTTACATTTTAATAGGCGTACCATTGGGTTTATTCATGTTCATTAATGTATTGAATAAGATATGGGTTCATGAAATTAGTAGACATTTATAAATTGTAAGTAGACATCATCTGATTAAAAAAGATCTGTTTAGTACCTTTTTAATTTAATATTTCTTATGGATACAAATAAATTAGTGAAATGAATTAAACTCATTTATTTTTCTATGTAGGTTTCCAAATAATATTGACGATCGAACTATTTCGGTAGCAAATTAAGGAGAAAACATAAAGATTTTTTATTGTAGCATTATTTTGATACTATTAAAAAATTAATTTGAATTCAACTATATTTAATTGTATTAATTTTAAAGCAAATAAAATTGTATTTTAATTTTTCTATAAAGACGTGATTTGTTAATAGTTAAACTCTCGTTTTTTTTTAATTCTTTGAACGTGTTTTTATACATTATTACTACTTCCAATTTGTAAAATCTGAATAATTACCCGCGAGTAAAAATTCAAGCACGCTTATGCTCATTGCGGAAGCATCACATTCTATCGAAGCTTCAAAACATTGTGTGTGTTAAAGGTATTTTATTGCTGTGTCCATCTATGTTTATACGTCCATGGCTTCCACGTATTGCGACTCAGCCCCGCACTGTATGCCTATATTTTGCCACCGGATCTTGCATCCAAACGTATGGACAGAACCAGCTTACACTAAACCTTGGTCTAGGCCAACCAGTAAGATGGACATTTGTAGCCAGCCAACGTCCCATTTTTTTTGTTCAGTCCAAGATGGTCGTATACGAGTTTATGTGCCAGCTGTATTCCAGAGAGATGTTTTCCTGAAGTTCCACACGCAGTTCCACCCAGAACAGGATGCTACGTTACACATGATTGCCGAACGATTTGTGTGGCATAACATGAATCGCCAAGTCAAGCAATGGTTACGAGAGTGCATTCAATGTCAGCGTGACAAAATTGGACGTCACACTGTTACACCTGTGAAATCTCTAGGAATGACTGAGATTACAACTGAAGTAGTCGCACAGAAGCTTCTTGAAGGATGGTAATTCTGGTTTGGTGTGCCAGCGACCATAACTAAAGACAGAGATAGACAATTTAAGAGTCAGTTGTTTCGTCAGGTCAACACGATTTCACCGAATACTCAAAGCTGCTCTTGTCGCCTCTGATACAGTATTGTGGGTTGAAGCCATCGAGCAAAAAGACAATAGAGGGAATGTAAAGGTAGTGGGGGCAAACATATTGTTAGACAGGAAGTGCGATCTTTAGAGGCCACATTAAACAAGGAAAGAGAGTCTCTCTCCTTGTTTGACATCAAATTTAGTTGGGTTATGTTATTGTTTGTCCCAAATGTCACATGAAATCTTATTTATATTGAAGTTTTTTAACAATTGTGTCGCATTTTAGACTATTATCGTTAATAATTAATTAAAACTTTGTCGTCTAAGACACATTCTGAAAAATATTATACAGCTACTGGTGATAAGTGTCGGAAAATTTAAATTTGGCGCATTCGCATTTCCGGATATGTCCGCCATCAGAGGCCACTTTTTTGGTCTCCTTTTCATAAGGATTAGATTCCCTCTTTTGTCTTATTGCTCGATGGTTGAAGCCCTCCCTTTGGTCATGCTTAGTCTTCGAAATACTTTTAAGCAGGAAATTTCGTGTACAGCCTCCTAGTATGGTACCTCAATATGCCTCCTTGAACAGCTGCTTGTCCATAGTGCTACTGCACCCGACTAACATAGTTTTGTCCAACGACTATGTGAGACCATGGGAGCATTGCGACCTGTACCAACAAACAACCACTCAGTCCGCACTGCCTTTGTCCACCCAGATCTGCAGACCACGAATCATGTTTTTATTCGGACCGATAAAGTGAAGCATCACCACATACTGGCCCTTTTAGAGTTTTGGAACGTAGTGACAAGTTTATCACAATAGACAAAATATTCCTCAACGAATATCCATGTCAATATTTGGCAGAAGAGGACCGGGACGCCGTCGTATCTAGTGGTTGAAAAATCTCCGACAATGGTTTGGGATGACCTCAGCGGAGCTGTTTCGCAGAGCAGTCAACAAAACCATGATAGCCTTGATGATCGCCAACATCCGGACCGGATAAGGCACTGAAGAAGAAGAAGAATATCCATGGATCAACTCAAACCAGCATACATTTCAGCGGCCCAATAGGTACAGGAAGAACATGTATATGCCAACCATCTGCTGAGCAACACAGGTCAACAGAGCCATTCGAAACCAGCAGGTTCCACACTGGAGGGGGAGCCCTGTGGCAAATTGACACTTAACCGCCTGCCACACATGGGATTTCAGACAATAATGATCAAACAACAAAAATAAAAGCTAGGATAGAAATAGCAAAAAGTGCGTTTGTAAAAATGAAAACAATTTCTCTCCAACAAAGATGTTAGATGATTAGAACTGAGAGTAAGAGCACGGAGATGCTACGTGTTTTCGATACTTCAATATGGACTTGAAAACTGGACATTGAAGCAAGAACACATAAATAAGTTACAGTCCTTTGAAATGTGGTGTTACAGGAGGATGCTTAGAATAGCATGGACACAGAAGAAAACTAACACGGAAGTATTGCAAGAAATGGGCAAAGAATGCGAAATAATAAACACAATAAAAATAAGAAAGTTAACCTAACCTAACCTAACCTAAGCTAACCTAAACGGTCCTAACCTAGCAATATCTGGGACACGTAACGTGGGGCCACAGTGATATGAACTGCTAAGGCTGATAATGCAGGGAAAGATAAGAGGAGGAAGGAGTATGGGAAGAAGGAGAGTGTCATTGTTACAAGTACCTAACAGTATATTAATGACGTTACTGTTGCAATTCTCAAATCAAAGAAAAAGTGTGAATCTCATTTGTTGATATTATTGTTTCCTGATATTAAAAATACTGCTCAAAATGTAGATTCAGCTGTATAATTGTTGTTCTGACTCTGCCTCGTCGAAAACAAGGGTTAAAAGATAGTACTTGTACTGCGTGATCGCATAGACAAATGTCCAAAAATTGTTAAAGTTAAAGCTGTGTCGGAGAACAGAGAAGTTGAAGATATTAGCGGTATATCAGCATTTTGCATGAACATTTCTCAATAAAAAAGTTGTGTTCCAAGTGCCACATTTGCGCAAAAATGATTAATGATTACAACAATAAAGCGTACACACTCAACGCTTATGCTTTGTTTGCACACAAAGTAAAAGCTAAGAGATAAGAAATAGCACCAAAGATAACAAAAATACATGAATTTTCTTAACTTTTTCCTTTTCTTCAAATTTAAACCCTCAGCAAACTACTGTTTGTTTGTAGAACTGCTCTAAATAATATTCAAAAGATTGGGATCAAAAGAAAAAGTGATTGGGGAAAACTGGGACGTGTTTTGAAATTACAGACCAATCTTTCTACAAAAAAGCTTCAAATTATTGGAGTAGCGCGTTTTAATCAGTTTATAACCACGTAAAGAGACTATGTTGATAAATAAATTAGTTAGGCCAGGAACTTATTGAGTTATATGGTAATGATGGCACTAAATTCGTATTTGCCATGGACGTATAAACACAGATGGACTCAGTTATTTACATAAAATTGTGAAGTCTAAATTATTTGAATAGGTCACATTCTGAGCACCTTCAACTGTTGTCACGTTTTGTTTTAAAATTTCTTATTCGCGAGTCGCTGAAAATATTACTCCGTATTTTATACTCTACAGGTGCTATCAACCCAAAATAATAATTTATTGGTTATATTAATATATTTAATTGTAATCAAAATATCAAGTGTGCACATACCTAGTGTGCATTATCATTTAATAATAGCGTATAATAGATATCAATCAATTATTTTATATGTAGAAGCACTGAAAACTATTTATAAATGGCAACGGTTGTTTACATTTCTCTGTCTTATGGATCTACGTCAAACTTCAAATGCTGTTCCATGTTTGTTTACGTTTTAGAGTAAATGAGGAAAAAGTTATTTTTCGATATTTTGGCTGTATTTTGAGTGATATTTGTGAAAAGTGAAATAAAATAAACGAAATATTTACATCCCGATCTCTCATTTCATTTGTAAGTACATACAATTTACATTATTTAAGATGAGGAAATGAGGAAGCGTGTTTGTTTACATTTTAATAGGCGTACCATTGGGTTTATTCATGTTCATTAATGTATTGAATAAGATATGAGTTCATAAAATTGTAGACATTTATAAATTGTAAGTAGACATCATCTGATTAAAAAAGATCTGTTTAGTACCTTTTTAATTTAATATTTCTCATGGATACAAATAAATTAGTGAAATGAATAAAACTCATTTATTTTTCTATGTAGGTTTCCAAATAATATTGACGATCGAACTATTTGGGTAGCAAATTAAGGAGAAAACATAAAAGATTTTTATTGTAGCATTACTTTGATACTATTAATAAATTAACTTGAATTCAACTATATTTAATTGTATTAATTTTAAAGCAAATAAAATTGTATTTTAATTTTTCTATAAAGACGTGATTTGTTAATAGTTAAACTCTCTTTTTTTTAATTCTTTGAACGTGTTTTTATACATTATTACTACTTCCAATTTTTAAAATCTGAATAATTACCCGCGAGTAAAAATTCAAGCACGCTTATGCTCATCGCGGAAGCATCACATTCTATCGAAGCTTCAAAACATTGTGTGTTAAAGGTATCTTATTGCTGTGTCCATCTATGTTTATATGTCCATGGTAATTGCAAATGATCAATTTAGAATAGTAAAGACTCTAAAATCTAGAATATAGAAGGGTCTTCTAACATCTTTATGTCAACGATGGGCTGAAATTGTAGAGATCCAAATAATATTAAAACTCATTGTAACTTAAGCCTGTTTCTTTTACCTTTTGACTCACATTTGTGAATTCATACTATACTTACTTAAGATGTGATGGTAATGTAAATTTGTTCTTCAAATCAGGTATACGCAAACCAAATAACGGTGTATCCACAGTTAATACTATTGCTTTTAAAACCAGCTCTCTCCGCTCTCAAAATTAAATTTCTGGTTAAATCTCTAGAAAAATAAACAAAAAGGAATATAAATTTTTTTTATAACTTAGTGGTTTTTGTTTACAGTAAAAGAAATTGTCATTCATTATATTAATTTTCTATCATGATTTTGTCTCAACTACACCTAAAACTGTGTATCTAGCACGACATTTTGATTAGATTTCTGGGGGTTAATCTGATTACATAGTACCTACCTTAATCAGATTTTAAATCGAGTGAACGATAATCTCAGATGATTAGTCTTTATTAATAACACAATCTATCATATCCAGTCATGAGAACACAACTCTCTACCTTAGCAGTGGCACTATCAATGACGAGAAAAAGCAGTAAAATTTGACACACCTATGACTAATTGCCTCGTTCACTAGGCTATAGTTTATTTTTTATGAACGAGAGAGTAATTAGCATAATTTTAACTGGTATCTCCGACCACTCCATGGGCGTGCTCAAGATTAATTGAAAAATTACTTTGAATAATTGTAAAAAATAAATGAATTATTTCAGTGTTATAAAGTGTTATGTGTATGTAAACAAAAGTGACCTCTTTTATCACACACTATATTAGAACTGACTGGCCTACATTAAAAAGGGTTTTAAAAAATTTCACATTTTTTTTTAATTTTTAAAAACTACAAAAGAGAAAAAGAGTTTTTAAAACCGTCTAAGGTATGTTAAATAGATGAATAAAAATATCAATATAAAACTTACAGCTACTTGTTACAAATCCAAATCAGATTCAGAAGATGAACTTTCAGAACCAAGATTTATAATAACTGGTTCGATCATTTTATCAGTAATATTGTCCAGCTTCCACATTTTTTCCTCTTATTTAATAGTGTGATTTACTGCCTTTTCCCAGTGTTCAGGTTTTACATTATTTACGGCATCCAAAAACAACTGTTTAACATCATGAATTTTAAAAGTGGTATTTTTTCTTGAAACTTCACTCTTTTTCTGTGCTCATACCAGTTCAATCGGGTTTAATTCACAATGATATGGTGGGGATCTAAGTACTGTCATTCCATGATTTTTGGCAATTTCATCAATTTCGTATTTTTTAAATTTTTCTTTATGAAGGGCACACAACGAATAAAGTTCCTTTCTTATAGATCCGGGATGGTACGCAATATTTTTGAACTCTGCCAATTCTGCAAGTCTTTTTTTAACCACTTGGTTGTGGGCAGTCCTTCTATAAGTCTGGAGTGATAACTTGCATTATCCATTACTATTACACAGTTCTTAGAAAGAAGATCTATCATTTGTTCGAACCATTCTTGAAAGACATCAGCGTTCATGTCTTCATGGTAGTCACCGGTACGAGTTGATTCAAAAGTTAATAAACCACCTTCAACAAAACCGTCTGAACTGCCAATGTGTACTATTATCAGCCTGCGTACCTTTCCTGATGGTGGGTTTAAACCAGTAGATAAGTTATTTACAAAAGCGTGCATTTGACTTGTAACAGTTTCATCCTGCCAAAATTTATTTGGTGTATGACCCTCGTTGATCCATGTTTCATAAAGATAAAATATTTTTCTTTTTTGGTTTCTCATTTCCTTTATGGTTCTTAGAAATGTCTTCTCCATATGACAATATCGCTTCTTTCTAATAAAATAGACTTTCTGGGATTCTTTTTGCAGCGGAAGCCTATTTCTTTTAAAAGTTTCCATAACGTACTTCGACTCATTTCTGGGTAATCCTTATCATCTCGAAACTGAGACAAGAACTTTATCCAATGTTGGAAATTCTTGTCTAAAGAAGAAATTCATGCACTTTCCGTCGAAGTCCTTCTTTAAAATGATATTTCTATTTGAAATTTTGGTTTCCCTGGAGCATTACGTGGCATTTGAAAACTACCTCATTTCTCTTCTTTAATAACTCTGTAAATCGTAGATTTCCCAACACCAAGTGTACTGCTAACTAACTCAACGTCTCATCAACACTTTCACATAAACGTTTGTCTGTAAATGATTTAAAACAATTAAATATTAATGTTTTTTCATTAACTGTTAAAGGACTAATTTTTCGGCGTTTACACGGCACTACCAAATTTTCCATAACACTAGTATACACAATAAACTGCACCTTGCAACTGAAGTACCTACTTTTAGTGAACTGTTAAGAATTTTGAATACGCCACTTGGACCTTCCTACAAAATGGAAAAACCCACTATCACATTTTCTGTGGAATAAGTTTAGAAGGTAATTATCTAGTCATTACTGTCGTAGATTCCTGGAATTAAAGAATTAAATGTTGATTGTTGAAACCCTTACTTCGTGGAATGCACTAATTTCAGATAAAATAAAACGTTTTATTTTATCTAAAGAATTAAACTTTATTTTGCAAATAGGTAGGTACTTATTAAACTTTATTGGTTATATATAACCAATAAAATAAACATCTTACATTTCTTGCAAATTCATTAGTACCTGTTAACCTCCATCACTCCGACACTGGCAACCTTATTTAGGGATTAGTAACCCTCACAACTATTGTATTCTATTGTGCTCCAACCTTTATACCTGGGGGTCATACTCAATTTAAAATTGTTTTCCTATATACTTCTGTAAACTTGTTGACAAATATCTGTTTTTCATTGAGTCACCCGTATCAACAGTTTAAGGATTTGCATACATAATTTATTGTTTTATTACTCTCTCATACATAAAAATACACTATAGATACTATTGAAAATGCTTAGCCTGCAAGGTTGCATTTTGCTTCAGGGATGTGTTAAAATAACATGTTATACAATACGTCTTCTAGATTCTAATTGTACTAATAAACATGGGTAGACAATTTACGTAATTTAATTATTTATTCTTTTAAGGTTTTTTATGAATCTTTAATATCTTAGGTAATATCTCACCACAGTCTTGCAACTATTTTGATGTTCGTCTTCGCCTTCTCTTTCTCCCTTCTTAATTCCATTATACTATTATTCGTTTCGTTTATTTTGCTTGTATAATAAAATTAATAATTTATAGTGGTAGTGCTAATAGAAATTTACCTGTCCTTATAAATATATACTTGATACCATTTCACAGCCTTTGGAGCAGCTTGAGCAACTTCTTCAATGCTGCACGTTGACATGGTGCTAAGAGTATAAACTACACCCATTTCTTCAGCAGCTAAAGTTAAAAAAGTAAAGTTATGTTAAAAATAAAATATTTGCTAAAAACAATAACTTATTTTTTTTTATTTAAAGAAATGGTTTTCGAAGACATTTATTTTGCATTGCCTATTATAATAAAAGTCTCCCTATGATACTTTATCTTGAGTTTTACACCACAGGTCTGTTATTCTTACAAGGTACTTACACTGGGTAACTGCTAATATATTTAAGTCATAAAATGTACAGGAAAATTAATATAATATGTATATAATACCATTTACCTTTAACAACAGCAATTTCGCCCATTGGATGAGCCATTTTTTGCATACCAGACGGAGCAATTCCAATTGGCATGGAAATCTTTTCTCCAAGAACTACCGTAGATAAATCTATATTTTCCACATTTCTTAAACATCTTGGTCTTATTTTATACCTAAAGAAAGACACATGACAGAAAATCGTCTTGACTATAACAAAACGACTGAAAATTTGGAAACCAGGTGATTGTTAATATATAATTTATGTAAACTAAAATATTAATGAGCTACGAAGAATTGTTACAAATAGAATATATGGGAAAATATCTATCCTCATCTAATTCAAAAACTTATAGCAAAATAAATGAGGATCATGCAAAACATTTAGCAACACAAAGAATTGGATTTTCACAAATATCAAAAAGAGGCAAGAGAGAAATAACTGCAGGACTCGTAAAAGAATGATTATGATCTAGAAGGTAAATTGTGTACACAGAATATGTTTTTATATTATTGAAAGCCCTTTTATGTTCCGCTATACGTTTGTTGAAGGCACTGAAGGTTCTACCAGTTTGACCTATGTATCTTTTGGGCAGTGACCACATGCGAGTTGGGTATACTACTGTTTAAGTGCTTTTTCTTTGGCTCTTGTCGTTCTTAATATATTTGTCTAAGTTGTTGTTTGTTCTGAAAGCTGGTGTTCTGAGAGCTGTATATGTAAGGGAGCAGAAGATACTGGGTATTTTCTCGGGTGGTAGGAAGACTAATTTCAGGGCTTTCTTATGCAGTTTTTGGTTTTTAAATTTTGTTTGTTTACTGCTATTTGCTTAATGATATTCAATTCTATCTCGACATGGGAATTTCTGTTATTCTATGTAACATGTAGCGTGAGATGATGAATTGTATATAGATTTTGAATACTTTGGAGTATCCATAACGAATACGAAAAAAAATGGAAAAGATATAGACAAACGATTAATGAAAGTGATTAGAGCGGTAGGGTCACTAACTTCAATATTAAAAGCAAAAAATGTGTCAAGGACAGCGAAACTGCGAGTCTACGAATCAGTAATAAGATCCACAAATATTTATGCCTGTGAAACGTAGATTGTACATCAACAGGAAGAAAAGGAAAATGATTATTAACTTCTTTAATGCGGTACATGCCACCCAAAATAGGGACAGCTGGATTGCTATTGCCAAAACGGGCAATACAATCCTTTGAAAAAACGCGACATTCATTATTACTAAATATCTGTTAAGATATACAGATTGGAAGGAAGGAATGGGAAACCAATAATTACGGTAAAAATGCGAGCCAAAATAGCGCGATGGCTGGCTCACATCATAGCATGGAGAAGCCACAGAAATGGGGAAATTAATAGGACGCCTAAGAAGAAGTGGTGGGAAGAAGTAAAGGAAGATTTATCAGAAATGGGCTTGAGATTGGAGAGAAAACGCAAGTAGCCGTAGGATATGGAAGTAAATAACCAAGGTTTTGGAAACCAGGGGCCAACAAGTCCTGTAACACTGTTGTATACTGCAGGCAAAAAAAAATCACAGTGAATAAAACACATAAATCTGGATAATTACTAATTTAATTTTACAAATTAATACTTGGTCATATTAACCTCGAAGTCAATCACAAGCTGGATTCTCTTAGGCATGGATTAAGCAAGGTTCAAGAAATATTATTTTTCCATGGTCACCTACTACCTCTTTAACTGCTATTTCAGCTTCTTTATGTTGCTCAGACGAGTTACTTGGACATTCCAATACGTTGATATTGTGATCATTCAAGAACTTTGACACTGTCTTTGCCTTGTGAGCAGAGGCTCCGTCGTGCATAAGGAAGTCACATTCGTGAATTTCCTACAAGTTCAATAAATGTTGTTCTAGAACAGTCACATAGTTGCTTACCCTCATTGTAACATTCTTGGACAAGAAATACAACCCTGCCCTTCCTTTATTTCCAATAAATGCATGCCATACTATTACACTTTCATAATATTTGACAGTTTTAACTGTGAACTTTGTATTGTACCCTGATGCGGTGTGTGGACGACGAATAAATTTGGAGCTTTCTCTTACTAACATGAACGTACTTTCGTCACTAAACATGACTTTTTTTCCATTGTTCAGGTGTACAGTGCTGACACCTTTTACAAAAATCAATTTTTTTTTCATTGCTTTTGTAAGCAAGGGCTTCTTTGTAGCACATTGACTTGGTAATGCTACATCTTTCTGAAGCCGGTGACGAATCATTCTTGTTGAAACGTTCTGAAGGAGCTCAGGATGTTTATTTTTGAGTTCTGTGGCAGTTATGAAAGGGTTTAACATTACTTCACGCCTGATGATGGTGCTAATCCTAGATTATGTTTTTTAGGATCTTCAGAACCAGGTTTTCTTTCCGAAACGGTTCCTGAAGGCAACGAAGCAGCCGACTGTTTCCTTTCTTGAAACATCAATATCACGTGTTACGGTAATTACACAGAATCCCCTTTCTCAAGTAACGTTAAAGCACAAACTTTCTCCTGTTGTGTGAGTTTCTTTCGATCCATATTTTTCACGTCAATGATAACACTGACTACTCGCACAAAGCCAACTGTGTACAGTACAAACATTCAGAATAAACTAAAGAAACTAAACGGTCAGTAAACCACAGACAGCCCTCTTCGCAAGTACGTTCTCTCTCCTCAAATGCTAAACAAACGCGAACTGAACGCATGCAATTTTTCGTCAAATTTAGTGATTTATTTGGGAACGTAAATATTTTTTTGCCGGCAATGAATGTATGTATATATATGAAAATTTATTGAACGAAAATCGTTTATGTTAAAAGTAATCAAAATATAAATAAACTAGTATTTCACAAATATTCTGGTATAGATAAGATCTACCTGAAGTTTTGAAAAATATGAAAAATAGACTTTCAAAATTCAGAATAAAAAATACATTAGTTCTTGAGAAGATTAACAACACACTTACAAGTATATTAACCTTAGTATAGTTTCCAGAGAAGCTAAGAGTACGGAGAAACCAGACGAAAAGAGCAGTGAGCAGTCATAAATCAAATTATCAAGACACCACAGAAAAAAGGATTAATTTGAAAGATAGAAGAAGAAGAACCTATTCAAGGAGGATGTGAAATGACGCGAGATAAAAACTCTGCGGGAAAACTCTCATTATTGTATGGAAATATACGGAATGTAGGGATAAAACATTGCAAATGAGATAAGAAGAATGAGCAATAATGTATTTATCATCATTCGGGCCTTACAACCCTGCGTGGGTCTTAGCAGTCCTCCTTAAGAATTTTTCCGCAAAAATGTATTTTATTATCAAAATAAATGAAAAATAAATAAATATAATTTATAAGTTCCAAGAGTACGTACCTGAAGAATGCTTTTCTGTTATCAGCCAATGTCTCCTGTCTTCCTGCGCCACTTCTGTAGTAATCCCGAATATCTTTAGGTAAAACTTCCAAAGCATGTTTCTCAAATTCCAAAACACTAAATAAATCGGACATTTTGACAAGCAAATTATTTCACTTTTGTAAGAATTATCTACCTACTTGCAATAGTACATAAAGATTATAAATAAATTATAAATTATACAAACACACACAATGTTTTTAATAATTAATATAAATCACATATGAGATAAGATATCACTGTTTGGGTGTAAAATTTCAAATTAAAAGTTAATTGCATAATTTTAGATAAAAGTGATATTATTTCAGATAATCACAATCAAAGAACATGTAATGAAATTACCAGTCACTTTAATTAAATCAAAACTAGTGTCAACAGCTACATTGAGTGTCTATAACTAGTGATATTCAAATAAAGGTGCGAAAAGAATTACAACTTGTTTATTTCTTATGTAAAACACAAATTTAAACATTGGATTTATTGGTTTAACTTTTTTTCTTGTTATGGTCTTGGAAAAACCAATTGACCAGATTATGTTGATATTTATAGGTCTACGATCAGGTTCTGTGTTAGTGTTACTTTTTTCGTTAATTTTTAACTTTTTTCGTTAATTTTTATTCATTTTAATTTTGATTTTTTGCCTTCGGTGTTAAATTTTTATATTTGTTATTTCACAATATTTCATTTTTTTAGTTTTATACAGATTATCTTTCCATATCACTGTTTATTCTATAATACAAACATCCAAGTGGTCTCACAATAATATTTTCAAATGATTATCCATCTGATAAATGAGTCAGAGTTCTCTCTTTAGAAATAATTAGTTTGGCACACTGCTGCCAGATGGCGCCACGCTCATAAGAATTAAATTATTTTGTCTTTATTTTTTGACCCAACAAACAACTAATTCGTTTTATAGTAAGCTAAAATAACATATTATAATATATTACAAATTATTTCCCATCTATTATATTAGTATTTTTAGTCAGTAGGTACTTTGTCTATTTTACAAACTAATTATTCTTTCAATAATTAACAAACTTTGACTCTTGAGTAATACCTAATCTGACACTCTACTGGCAGATGGCGCCACGGGCCAAACTCAGAATAACTGAATTGTTTGACCCTACAAACTAATTAGTTTTATAATTCTCTACCTCAGAACCAGACAAACGTAAGTCACGTTTAGCCAACTTTTCAGGAGAAAGCAAAAACTAAAAAAGTTACCTAATTGCTTAATTATAAAGCTGTCACTTTAATTTACCTTCAAACTATTGTGTGTATTATTAACAAATAAATATCCTTTATTTATTGTTTGATTTTTTTTCCTAAATATATCCCATTTTGTAAAAAGTGAACTTATGTATAATAGTAGTAGTATAATATCGTCGGTAGTTAGACTTTACGGGAAAATTATCAAGGAAAAACTAGAAACTGAAATAATAGGAAAAATTGGAGAAGACCAAGCAGGGTTTACAGTAGGAAAATCATGCCTAGATCATGCGTACACATTAGAACAACTGATAGAGAAGAAAATGGCAAAATATAGACCGGTCCATCTGGCGTTTGTTGATCTAAAGAAAGCGACTCAATACCTAGAGTCAAATTATGGGAAGCAATGAATGATCTCGGAATCCGACAAACACTAATAAAAACAGTTAAAGCACTGTACAACGAAAACAAAGTAGCTATTAAACGTGGAAATAGAGCCTACAATCCATTTAAGACAAGGACTTCTACAAGGCTGTGCTATGTCCCCTACTCTGTTTAAAATATTCTTGGAAAAGACACTCAAACCATGGAGGAGAAAGTGCGAAGGAATGGGCATACCAGTAAGAGACGAATACCTATACACCTTAAGTTGTGCCGACAATCAAGTAGTCATCGCACAAGATGAAGAAGATCTTAGCTTTATGCTCAGAAAACTAGAAGGAGAATATAAAAACAACGGAATGGAAATAAACTTAGAGAAAACCGAAAACCTAACAACAGAAAACAAGGATATGAGAAACCTAGAGATAGACGAGGGAAGACAAGTAAATGGAACAGATAAATTCAAGTATTTAGGAAACATAATATCGAACCAGGGAACAACAGAAGAAGATATAAACAACAGACTAAGACAAACAAGAAACTGTATAAGACAACTAAATTCAGTGATGGGGGATAAGAACATTACGATAAAGACAAAAAAGAGAATATATAATACCCTGACAAGAAGTATCCTGACATATGGGTCCGAAAACTGGACAATAAACAAGAGAAATAGAGGTAGAATAAGAGCAGTAGAAATGGAGTTCCTGAGGAGAAGCTGTAGGTAGACTTACAAAAAGAGACGCAGAGAATTTGAAAACGCAGAGATTAAGCGGAGAATGGGAGTGCAATCAGACATAATCGACTATATAGAGGAGAAAAGACTATCCTGGTACGGCCACGTCAGAAGAGCGGACAGAGGACGCTGGATAAACAAAATCACAGAATGGAGCCCGATGAAGAAAGAGAGGCAGACCCCGAAGGTCATTCAGAGACGAAATCGACGAGGCTATGGAGAAAAGAACCCTGCGAGATGGAGACTGGAATGACAGGGAAAATTGGAGAAAACGGTTGAGTGAAGGAAGACAGTGAAAATCCTTAGTAGTAGTAGTAAACTTATGTTATTGTGGCTGGACACAAAACCCTACTGTACGACTTACTCCTAATAACTTGCGTTATTTTGGATCTACGCTCTACAAAAATTCCTCATGAAGTTGCCTTCATATTCACCATGTAGAAGGTTTTTAAAGAAAGATTTGTATTCTTCAGGGATCCGTTGCATTCCGGTTCATTAGGTCGTTGTACTTTTCATTGCTTATTTTCTTTTTGTGTGCCCATATTTGTGGAATTGCCAATGGCATAATAATCCTTTCTTGCCTGTGATTTCTTTTCAGTTCAACACATTTGAATCAATCTTCCGCAAAACTGGTTTTTTAGTATAGCTTACTATCCCGTTTTTGCAGCTGCAACCACACTGCATTGGACATTAGAAATGGTTCGTTGTTTGTGTTCTTCCTTGATATAAATGGGGCGTCTTTGCTCCTGAAGGAGAGAAAATCAAAGAAGTCTTTAATGCACATCAGTCTGACAACAAATGGATTTTTTTGGAGCATGTAGCAATAAAGTTTGCCCAATCATTTGTAGTGAAAATGGTGTTAGTTTTTATTTGTTTTTAGCTCTCTTTATTATGCTGTGTTTCCATCAACTTCCATGTGGGTGTGTCCGGCCAATAGGAACATGTGGTTGACGTTCTTTACAGTAGGAACTTTTTCCAAGAGCCACAAATAGAAAAAACCATGTTCATATTTCTGTTTTGTCCACTGCAATTATCTGTCCAAATAGTCACTACATCAGTAGGCTGATTATTAGTAATTTCTTCACTTGCCCATGTAAATAAACAAAACGCTATTTCATTTCCACCCCGACCCGCTGTAACTTCATTTCAGATCATGCACCAAGTTTGATCAGTTGTTGCATCATAAATAGTACTATTTAACGTCCAGAACTTTCTTGGGTAAGAACTTTTGGTGTTTTTTTTAAGTCTGGTGTTGATCACAAACACCATATGTATCGTTGTGTGATCGTAGTATCGTATCATAGTAGATCGTGTATCGTAGTGAATGATATTCTGGAGTTTTGATAAAAATTGAATATTGGGCAATAATGGGTTAATACACTGTGTGAGAATCCTATTTCTCTGTTGATTTCCTTGGACTGTTCAAGGGAAAGACCTCTCTTATAAATAAAAAAAGAAACTACAAAAATACTTTTTATTTCACTGTTCAAAGTAAATGATTTAGTTACATTAAAAATAAATTATGACCGATATAAATGAAAGATGGACATAAACAATGAAAAATTACCTAAAAATGATGTTGCCTAAGAGGTTTTCTTAAACTCAGCATTCACAAAAATAGCGAAGGCGTTACTCTTAGGTCTTATGTAAAAGAGAAGTCCCACAAAGATTTAACAGTTTTGAATACAAATATTTAACTACTTAAAATGCAAGTTAAAACAGCATTTTTATCAGTCTGCCAGTGCTAACTTGTCTATTTTGACATAGTTAACAATTAAAAAAAGTAAAAAATCATTAAAACTTTTTATCGAAAAACTTCTGGGACTTCTCGTGATAAGAAACTGATTTACATTAAAATGATCATCAAACTGTTCTTTTTAATTGTTCAGAAATAGCTTCTAAAAAGTCTTGAGTGTTCAAGAACATTCCCTCCTTAACATTGGGAAGTCCATGGATGGAAGCTGCCAAATCTTTGGTCATTTTTCCACTTTCAACTGTGTCTACGCAAGCTTGCTCTAACTTGTTGCCGAAAGCGACGAGATCTTTATTCCCATCGAGGTTTCCACGGTGGATTAGACCTCTGGTCCATGCGAAGATGGATGCGATGGGATTGGTTGAGGTTTGCTGGCCTTTTTGGTGCATCCTGAAACAATGTCAACATTATAGCTTTGTAAGTAAAGTATTTCCGTTCCCAAAATTACCATAATTTCAAGGGCGATCAATGGTGTATGCATAGATTACTTAAAAAACTTTAACATGCTTGTCAGGAAATGTTTTACAAATAGATACCTACAGATTGTTATATATTTTATTAAAAAAATAAGAGAAACTCGTTTAAACATGACTAATACAAACATGACTAATACAAAGCTGGAGGCATTTGAGATGTGGGCGTACCGAAGAATGTTAAAAATCTCCTGGAAGGATAAGATAACTAACCAAGTTGTATTAGACAGGATGAACAAACAAAAGGAGGTCGTATTGAGTGTTAAAATGAGGAAACTACAATACCTTTGACATATTACACGTGGGAATAAATATCAACTGTTACAACTAATTATGCAAGGAAAGATTGAAGGTAGGCGCAGCATAGGTAGGAGAAGAATGTCATGGTTGAGAAACCCCAGGGAGTGGTTTGCTTGCACTTCCATATAATTGTTCCGAGCGGCAGCCTCCAGGGTCAAAATTGCCATGATGATAGCCAACCTTCGTAGCGGAGATGGCACGTGAAGAAGAAGAAATACAAACGGTATTAAACTGACAAGAAAGGTGTGATGTGATGGAGATGATTATTTAGATTATTTAGATTTATGTATACAGTCCCTGTTTAAATTATTAGATTCACTCTAGAAATTTCAGTTTTTTAAATTTCAAATGCCATAAAAGTATCTTCACGGTGATACAAGGTGCTGAATGGGTTGCATAACAATCAGTGGACAATCATGCTGCTTAATTATGTAAGTTAAAAATGGTTAAACCAAACTGTTTGATTGCATTATCAAAATTTGACAGATGGCAATAGAATGTGCTAAAAGTGTGCAGTATCTCGACTGTTTTCAACATTAATTTTTTACATAAATTAATGTTTGGATTAGACAATAGCCAGAAAGTGTGGTGCATCTCAATCGTCAGTTCTAAGATTCAGTAAAAATTAAAGATAAATGTCCTCTTTCGGTTGGGAAAGCTTTCTGTCACGCCCAGAATGTAACGAATTTGAAAGAATTTGCTTGTAAAGAAGCAGGATGTTCAGTATCGGTGGCCAGTGTACACCGACATATGTAGGTAGGTACAGCATGGGCTTTTAATGTAGCAAGCTCGTTAAGAAGTCAAAACTAACACCAAAAATCCTCAAGAAACGGTGAACTTAGGCTACTTACATAAAGACTGGACTATTCACATTTGCAGGTTTTGTTTAGTAATAAAGCAATATTCAAAATTATGGATGATAATGTGTAACGAATACAATAATTGTATTAGTTACAACAATTTAATTATTAAACAACCCACATCAATAATTCTTCTCGAAGTCATCGAACCATGCATGTTTGGTAATGGTCACAATGTCTTAATGCAGGAATACTTGTCATACTGGCAAGCAACTCAACAGACATGAACCCCATCGATAATGTTTGAGAATGCCTAAAAAAGAAATTGACCAAGAAAGTAATAATAAACAAGTTAAGGGAAACGATGGGGTTATTTCACCATTCCCGTAGTGCATCAAAACCCTCGTGGTGACCTGTCTTGATTTGTAATAGGATTTAAGCGTTGGTTGCTGATTCCTTTTTATTACTCTTGTGGGGGTGAAATTATACACTTACACTTTTTTATCTTCGCTTTATTGTACTTGCACAATACTTTACATATGTACATTTTGCAACACTAAACTAACTTATAATATTATTTGATATTATGCTCTTGTTGTGTGACGCGGGTGTGTGTGTGAGAGAGAGAGAGAGAGAGAGAGACGAGGAGAGAGAATAACTTCGTTAGCGACTTCCTAACTTGAACTACTTAATTCGACTGACTTTATGCTTATATGTAATATGTGACTAGCTTGGGCAAAGGGTGTGCGAGAGTGTGAGAGGCGTCAAATACGCTAACCATGTCTGGTTTCTTTTACTAATAACGGCTAACATGTGATCTTCAGGAACAGAGGCGGCGTTAGGTTAAATTGGAACAGTTAAAGAATTAGTTGGTTTTCCAACACAAGGTTCAGTTGATAGAGAGCATTATTTTTCATTGGAACCATATTGACCATTTGTAAAAGAAATACCAGCAAGATATATAAATAGCATTCCTAGGATAGTGACTGCACTTGTTAAAGATGAGGGTGGCTTAACAAAATAGTATTGTAGTAAATTGTGCGATATATTAATTTTTTTGTTCAATAACTATACACACAAAGGTTAAGACTATCATTTATGTAATCCTCTATATAGAGCTAACATAATAAGAGCAGAAAAAAATAAAACTTGTCTGCTGACAATCACGTTTGTCAATAGTACGTAAAAATGTGCAGTTATGTCGCAAAATTCGTATCGCAGTAGAAAATGCTTCAGAAACCATTAGAATCTCTACTTTTATTTGAAATAAACCTACATTTAGACAGTATAATTCCGTGATTACGATCGTGCCATTTGGATATGACTGCCGCTATAATGATAAGGACAAAAAGAAAGAAAATATGCAATACAGCCAGCCTGGGATAATTGCTTGTAGCAATAGTCGAAGTTTAATAAAATCAAAGCAATATTAAGACGTACTCACCTGTAATGTCTGGTTACTGTTCCGTGCGCAGCTTCCGATTCGATGGTCTTTCCATCGGGGCACATCAATACTGAAGTCATCATACCCAGAGAGCCATAACCCTGAGCAATTACATCTGATTGGACGTCTCCATCGTAGTTCTTGCAAGCCCAAACGAACCCTCCTGAAGACTTAATAGCTTGGGCTACCATGTCGTCGATAAGACGATGCTCGTACCAGATCTTTTTAGCATCGAACTGGGCTTTGTAATGTCTAGAAATAAAAAATACCTTTAATATTCACATTTGTCCATTAAAAATACTTCTATAGATAAAGTCACGTTTAGATGGCAGTGTACGTATATAGGATAACAGCGTTGCCAATTCTACTGCCATTGTAAGTTTTGCTACTTTTGTAAAATAAGCAGGGCCAAACTCACGGTAAACTAAGATATGTTTAGGTAAGCTAAAGTTGTTAATAGAAAATTCGTGAATGAAATAAATGGTAATAATTCCAAAAATGCTTTTATACATAATACCGCAGTTAATAGGGAAAAAAATATGAAAAATATTCTACAGGTTTTTTAATGTTCTAAACGGTAGATAAGGGATAACTGATGATAATTCTTTGAAGAATTACAGCCAATTTTGCTTTGTTTATTTTTTAAAGAAAGATGAAGTTTGGAAAAAATCATTTTTTTGCCTATTTTGTTCCTCGTGCATTTTAGGGAAAAATGTTTCAAATAAATGTTGCAGATCTTAAAAAGTTTTTTAATTTTTTAGTTTGTAAATTAAAATACATAAACAAATGACTGAGATAATTGCAAAAAACCCCTAATTGAGGCCCCTAGAACACAAGGGTGTAAGTGCAGTTGCTTATCACTTAGCAACTGATATCTAACAACAGGCACGTACTTTTGGCTTCAAACTTTCTACATTAACAACAATAACACCATCAAAAATTACATGTCATTGAAAACATGCTGAAAACTGAAAAAGTGCTACCTAGGTTTTTAAATTTATATCGAACTTTGAACAAAGATTTTTCAAAACTTTGTTTTTGGCACTTACACCCCTTGTGTTCTAGGGGCCTCAATTGTGCACTAATTTATTAAATGTTCATAACTTTATTTTTTGCATAATGACGTCTAATATAACTACTTGAAATTATGTCGATTAATGAGTTATTTAAGTGTGCTACATTTCAACCAGATCAACTAAATATTTTATTACCTTTACTGAGAAAAGAATACCCCCGAAAAACAATTTTCAATCATCTTCATTTTCATAATCTAGTTCATCTTCAGAGTCATCGTTTAATGAAATTCTAATAGGTTCAATGTCATCTTGAATGTTGTCTACTGTCCAAAAATTATTCTCCAATTTTATAACATGGTTGACGTAATTTTTCCAATGTCCATTGTTCTGTACTTTATCATAACCTTCATAAATCAATGTTTTAACGTCGTTTTGTTTGAAACTTGAATTCTTAGAGGACACGTACCGTTTCACTTCACTCCACACCATTTCTATTGGGTTCAGTTCACAGTGATAAGGCGGAAGTCTTAAGATATGTACATCTACGCGGCATTGTTCGTCACTGTGATTCCTGTATTTTTCACCAATACAATCACTTTTGTATTTGTCATAAATATTTTTAAATACATTAGCAGTTTCCAGAAGTTCATTTTTTAAGTAATCTTCTTCAAAATAAATGTCCTTTTCATAGAGCCACTCCTTAATTTGACGTTTCACCCAATATTGTTTGGGAAAATTTAATTTCCTAGAGTGATAAGATGCATTGTCCAAGATAATGACATTCTTTTTATTTTTTGGGAGATTCGGTATTAACATCTCTTCAAACCATTTTTCAAATAGATCTCCGTCCATCTCTTCATGGTAATCTTCAGCACCTTTTTTGGCAAGAAAAGTGATGTCAGCACCTTCAACAAATCCGTCTTTGTTTCCTGCATGGACTAAAACAAATCTTGGTCCTTTTCCGGTCGGAGTTTTTAAACCTGTGGTAAGTCCATTTACGAAAGCCTGTCGGCTATTTTTTATTGTTGTATCTTGCCATACTTGCCCATTGGTTATTCCAGTATTAACCCATGATTCGTCCATATAAATGATATTGGCTCCTTCGTTCCTCAGTTTCTTTATTTCCCGGAGATAGTGACGCCTCCAAGCGACTATTTCTTGTTTTTCTATTAATATTGAATTTCTACCTTGTTTGCCATATATAAAACCCATGTCGTGCAATAGTCTTCTCAACGTACTCTTGGAAAAATTCGGAAGATGCTCCATTTGCTTAATTTTTTCTAGTACTACGTCAAGGGTTGGAGGAATATTGTCCATAAAAAAACCGTGCACTACTTGTCTTATTCTAGACCGAGTTGCTTCATCATATCTATTCTCACGACTATTCAAATAACCGGTTCTTTTTTTTCTTATAGGAGTTACGAGTGGACCATTTTTACTTTCACTTCTATATCGGAATATCGTTCGCTCAGAGACTCCAGTCATAGCAGAAACTTCCCGCACTATTGTTGATACACTTTTATCATTATTACTGTTTGATAAATAGTTAAAAACATTTAACACTATTTTTTTGCATTCACTATTTAACAAATTACCGTTTTTGAATTTTATTACACTCGCGGCCATTTTGACAATGACACGACACAAACGTCTGATATCAACTGAAAATTCTTTTAATGACTCTCAAGTATTTACCTGAATTTATAATTGCTGGCATTAGACAATAATTTTGAATTTATAAATAGGTATATTTTTTTAATTCTAAATTATTTTTTAATGTCTGTAACTGTAAATGCAGGTAGAGAAAGTGAGTCATTAAAAGGACATTAAGATCAAAAACGGATTATACAAATAATTATTTCATTTCCACGAATTGTAAACAATTTTGAACAGAAGATATAATTCCGAAAAGACCAGATTTCCGAAATATAACTTTCTATTTTTAAAATACCAACAGAAAAATTATATAATTAAAAAAATGTAGTATTTTTCCGTTTCACATTCATAAATATTTCCGAAATTATAATTCTTTTATAGGAGCCGGCCCATAACGTACGATTGTAGGTGCGATTAAAAACTGACAACAATGTAGTTATTTCTGGCATATAGAAAGTACAGGCCTATCTCTGTAACGCTGCCATCTGAATGTGAATTTATCTATAGTAGGTATCTAAAAATATGTACACAAACGAAAATAAATATATGTATGTTTAAACTTAAAAAGTGCGAGAAATTACTGAGCAAAACATCAAAACTTACTTCTCGAAGATTTCCTGGAATATATCCTTGAATCTACCATCATATTTTTTCAAAATTGTGTTTTTCGTGGACAAGTATACTGGCCAGCCCTTTTGAATACCAACTTGGAATGAAGAATGAGCGAAAGATGCAATACTTTCATCTGTGTTGTACATAGCCATCCCCACACCTGAGTCTTTGTACCTGAACACTTCGTACCTCTGTTCTTTGCCGTCATCAGTTGTTACGACTAATTCTAGCTGAAAATTGATAAACATTTTGAAAATATCCATCCATTTAAAAAAAATTAATTTTTATACAGCTAGTGAATTTTAGGAGTATGTATAGCCAAGCAGTTTTGCTATTTCGAGGGCCTACGATATACAAGAAGGTAACAGTACCAATGCTATGATTTAGCCGTCTATTACTACTCTTCGTTTTATCTTGGTTCTATCGTCATACACTCAGTCAATACAAGAAAAGAATTTAATTAAGAAAGCACTCAATTTCGCAAACAACTTTGCAGTCCTGTCGCCTAAACAAGTAGTTTTAAAAAGGGTAAAATAAGATTAGTTGCATCTAGAAAACGCCTTAATAAAACTTTCTGGTTGATTGATTTCCTATACCTGCGGCGTACATGACACAGAGCCATCTAGCGGAAGTTGACATCGACTATGATTTTCGTAAATTTTGACATTTCTTATGGTAAACAACAATGGCAGATTGAAAATCCATCGCGTGGTTTAGTTCTAATTGTTGAGCGTATAACAAGAGTCACGATGATGTAATTTTAACAATGGAGCCTAATATAAGCCTTGTGTTTCATCACTTAGATAAGTAGTCCAGTGTATATTTTATTATTATTTTATTCTTTTACTACTCACGCAGATAATGCAGCCAAAGGAAATAGTGCAGTAATAATCAAAGAAAATAGTATGTACTATCAGGAAATGGGATACAGAACTAAAGAATTTCAGGCCAAATAAGTAAAAATTAAATGTAAAAACTATGAGGTAATCGTCACGGCGGTTTACAGTCCTCCAAGACATGCCATCAAGAAAAATCAATATGTAGATTTCCTGACCAGTCAAGGACATAGATTTATCCTTGTAGGAGACTTCAATGCAAAACATACGCATTGGGGGTCACGACTGACTACCTGAGAAGCAATGAAATACATAAAATGCGAAGCAATATCAATGGGAAAGCCAACATACTGGCTTACTGTTTACTGCTTCCTTTACAAATTACGTAGAGATAGAAGAGGCATTGGATATGAACGCGGACCATTCTCCAATTATTCTCACACTCAGTGACACACTGTTATCAAAAAAGAAAGCCCCCATAGACTTGATAACAAAAATGCTGACTAGAAAAGTTTCCAGATAGACTTTGAAGAGATGATTATCCTCCCAGTTCCATTAAAAACCGTTGATCAACTAGAGGCAGAAGTATAATTACTCAATAAAAATGTACAACAAGCTGCTTGGAACAACAGCACGAACAGTGTCGAAAGAATAAAAGGAAATAACTACTAACTAAGTAAAGTGGCATCAATCTAGAGCACCAGTTGATAAAACTAGAATAAATAACGCCACACAATAATTAAAAACAGACATTCAAAAAATTAAAAACGAATCGGTTAGCATCTACCTAAGTGAACTATCAAATGATAGTGCTACTGATTACTCATTGTGAAAGGCTACCACATGATTAAAAAGTCCAATCTTACAGAATCCACCAATTTGAAATACTAATGGTAGTTGGGCAAGAAGCAATATACAAAAGGCCAAAAGGTTTGCTGACCACCTAGAAAATACTTTTCAACCAAATAAACAACAAGAAATAACTGGGAACTCCCTGATCAAGATGAAATAGAGATTAGCCCTGTAACTCCAAAAGAAGTATATTTGGAAATAAAAGAAAATATAAATCCAAAGAAAGCTCCTGGATTTGATCTTATTACTGCGGAAGTGTTAAAGCAACTTCCAAGGAAAGCTATAATAAAATTAACACATCTTATAAACGCTTCCTTTGGGCTGAGGTACATAAAAACGATATGGAAGGTGACAGAAATTATAATGACACTAAAACCAGGAAAACCTCCACAAGAAGCTTCTTCATATAGACCTATTTCACTGTTATCTGTCATGTCTAAATTATACGAAAAATTACTCTTAAAGAGACTAAAACCGATTATAGAGGAACAAAATCTAATTCCTAATCACCAGTTTGGGTTTAGAGCAAGCCACTCAACGATAGATCAGGCGCATAGAATAATAGATATAATAGAAAAAGCTCTAGAAGAAGGAAAAGTCTGTTCTGCAATTTTCCTCGATGTGCTCAGGCTTTTGAAAAAGTGTGGCATGACGGATTATATCATAAAATGAGACGCTACTTACCAAAACAATATTCTGAACTGCTAGAATCTTATATATCCGACAGATACTTTCGAGTTAAATATGAGGAAGCATATTCAAAATTAAGAGAAATTAAAGCTGGAGTTCCACAAGGAAGTGTCCTGGGGCCAGTGCTATACCTGCTCTATACCAGCAATATTCCATCATTAGAACCTAACACAATTGCAACATTTGCAGACGGACATGCATTCTAGCAGTCGGACAAAAGCACGAGGATGCAGCAACTATGCTACAGAACTCTGTTGAACAAGTTAACATCTGGACCAGGCGATGGTGTATCAAATTGAATGAAACAAAATTTGTACATGTCAATTTTACTAACAAAAGAGAACATATCCCAGTTAGTATAAATAGAAATAGTATGACATTATTAAATAGAAAGTTAATATGATAAGCTACGTTGGAAAGCATATTTTAAGAAAAAAAAGGACGAATTAGAAATTAGGTTCAGAAACATGTACTGGTTGATGGAAAAAAAAAATTCCAACACCATGTTGGCACCTTAACTAAATTTAACATAACTTTAAAAATGAACTTTGAACTGTTAACTGATTCTGGCTTCGTTTTCATTTCTGTCCTTATATACTAATTTTACAGAGCTGTAAGTCCGGAAACAAAGTGTCAAACAAGATGATAGAGAAAAAACTGTATCTACTTTATACTGATTAATTATTAAAATAATTATTTGTACCAATCCTTGATGTTAGGACATTTGGGATTGGTGAAAAATCCTTATTAAAATTAATTCTTATGCAATACAAAAGAAAATTATCTCATACATGTTTACAATAAGCTAGATAATAAATTTTATATTTACCTTTCCAGGTTTATCTACAACAATATCGACAGCCTTGTATTGATCACCGTGTGCATGACGACCAATTACCATGGATTGAGTCCAACCAGGTATTAGTCTTGGAATGTTTTTACATAAAATAGGTTCTCTGAATACTGTTCCTCCAAGAATATTTCTTATGGTTCCATTTGGAGATTTCCACATCGATTTTAGTTTATATTCTACGAAAAAAAAACACATTTGTAAATAAAAATTATTAAAATTGCACACATAAAAATACAAATGTGGTTCTAACCATAAAATATTGAAAACTTTTGTTTTTAACATACCAGATCTATTTTTGGTATACGTTTACATCACTTTTAAATGTGGGTGTTTGCGCCAAGAAATATCATATTGTTCTTTATTAAGTTTATACTAAGAGATACCATCATCATCATCATCCCGTGTTAAGTCCACTCTAGGATATAGACATAATACTACCGAAGAGATAAACAGCAGAATTTGCACGACCAACAGATGCTATTTTGGCCTCAATCTTCTCCTTAAAACCACAATTATAATGAGAAATACACAAATAACACTCTACAAAACAATAATACGCCCGGTTCTAACATATGGTTGAGAGACCTGGACTCTAACAGGGCGGGCATGTTTTCGACGCTGAAGTACCTGAGGGTCTTAAAAGTACCCTTGTTTTGGACGCTGCCGGAAGGATTATCGCAGGTACCAGATATTAGATATAATTACGGTTTAATGATGGTCATTGAAATTTACTTAGTTACTAGTTATTAGTTTGTCAGAGAATAGTGAAAAGTGAACATGGAAATTTCAACGTTAGTAAGTAATCGTGGTAAAACTTTGCTCAAAGTGAACAGTTTTACTTATTCTCAAGATAAAGTACTAAAAACGGGAGAAACGTATTGGAGGTGCGTAAAACGGTCGTGTAAAGCGAAGATTTTCACGAATGGACCAGAAAAGTTAGTGATCCGAAGTAATCTAGAACATAATTACGAGTGTGATATCAAGACGCTTAATAGACAGATTGTGCGCAGCAGTGCAAAAAGGAAGGCTAAGGATAATTTGACCGAAAGGCCGTCCAAAATCATACATAGTGCGTTGAAAGAAAATGTAGATTGCTTGAGCCACATATCTGTTAAAGACGTTAATTTAATACGAAATCAAATATACAGTGAACGGCGAATGGCTCAACCGAAACTGCCCAAAAGTAAAGAAGAAACTATTGTTGCGGTAAATATTATGAATATCAAAACACTTAAAGACGAGAATTTTATATTTGCGGTTGAACTAAGTTCTAATATTATCATCTTCTCGTGTAACACTAACATGCGTTTTCTGTGCGGCAGTGAAACGATTTATATGGACGGTACATTTAGTTACTGTGCTCAATATTTCAAGCAATTTTTTACCATACATGTATTTATCAATGGACATTATATACCATTGTGTTATTGTTTACTTCCCGACAAATCGGAACAAACCTATATAAAACTATTTAATGTTTTGAAACGCAAATGTGAAGTAATTGGTCTAAAATTCAATCCAAAAAATCATTTTCTCCGATTTTGAAATTGCTATCCACAATGCTGCGCGTTTTGAATTTCCAAATGTGCACATTAAAGGGTGCCGTTTTCATCTTATGCAAGCTTGGTATCGTAATATCGGTGGTTGTGGCTTAATTCGGGAATATAAATTGGCAGACAGTGAAATATCTAAATGGCTGAAATATATTTTTGGGCTGCCATTTTTACTTCCCTCGTCGAAGTCAAAGAATCTTTCATATATGATTTTATGGCTATTCAACGAACGGATTCAAAAATTGAAAAGTTTTCCGACTACTTATCGGACAACTACATTGGCGACCACGCAACATTTCCGTCGGAGATGTGGGCTGCGATGAGTGAGAGTTTACAATTAACAACTTATGCTGGTGAATCGTTCCACTCGCGTTTTAATGATAATTTTTACCATGCTCATCCAAATATTTTCCATTTTATTGATGTTTTAAAAAATTTTCAAACTGAAACTTACATTAAAATTAATAGTGTCTGTAATAGTGAAAGTAATAGACTTAAAGATCCAAAGAGTAGAAAAAAAATTATGTTCGTTAGAAATAGGATACATGAGTATCAAACTAACTGTATCGATCGATTCCATTTTGTAAAATGTATGTCGTATTTATTTCAAAGTGACAAATAAACCTTATCAAGCTTAATCTCTACAATTTTATTATCTGACTTTCCATTTACATTTCAATTACATCCAGCATCCAAATCATGTATGCAGAAACAGGTAATTTTATTTTTCAATGTCGAATTTTAAATTTAGCGTTAAAATCATGCACGCCCCTCTAACAAAAGGTAATGAAAATAATAGGCGAATCTATGAAGCAGTGAATGACAACTGAGTGTGAAGATGACGATACAACTTCGAACTTTATAGAATATACCAGGAACCAGATGACCCATTGGTCAGAGAAGAGGCAGACCCAGAACAAGGTCCCTTGTAAAACCAGAATGATGATGATGATGGACATAGGCCTCCCCTGTGGCATCACAAATACCATACGTTTCTTAAATTGTAATTCATTAAATCTTTCATCTATTGATGATGTCAACTTTAAAGGGAAGATATGGGCATTTGATATTCAGTTATCAATACATTAGAAAGAGTATTTTAAAGAGTGTTTTAAAGAGTACAACTTTGGACAGATCAAAATAAATGAAAACATTTAATCTTCCCAGGAAACCTAGTTAACCTTTGTATTGTATCTGGGTACGCCTGGACCATCGAGCAAAAAGATAAAAGATGGAATGTAAAGGTAGTGGGGACAAAAATATTGTTAGACAGGAAGTGTTATCTTGAGAGGCCACTTTAAACAAGGAAAGACAGTCTCTTTCCTTGTTTAAGAAGTCAAATTTAGTTTGGTTATGTTATTGTTTGTCCCAACTGTCACATGAAATTTTATTTATATTGAAGTTTTTTTTACCAATTGTGTCACTTTTTAGACTATTATCGTTAATATTTAATTAAAACTTTCTTGTCTGAAAAATATTTTACAGCTATTGTTAACAAGTGTTGGAAAATTTAAATTTAGCGCCTTTGCATTTCCGGATATGTCCGCCATCAGAGGCCACTTTTTTGGTCTCCTTTTCATAACGATTAGATTCCCTCTTTTATCTTTTTGCTCGATGGCCTGGACCCAGTAGTAAAATTCAAATGTTTTCAAATATGAGACGTGATGTTTCATGATATCCTTAAGATAAGGCTTTTGAAATATCAGTTTAGTTTTCTTTGAAACGAAAGAAACACATCTGTTGTTTATGGGTCCACCTGTACCCAGAAGTTTTTCCAAATGTACGTGATGTTTGTTTTGTTTATTTTTCTGAGAAGGGTCATTAGATTTTATGGGTTCTATTTTCGGAAGCGTTTGTAGAGTATCTTTAGTGTTATACCAGACTTGATCGCTTGAAGTTTAGATTTGATAGTGTGGTGTACAATCATTTGTGAAAAACAGAATAATACGCGCTTGCTGAAAAATGAGCTCCAGGAGAGGACTCACGGAAGAGGAAAAATCCTTGAAGAAGACTCAGAAAATGAAGATGAATCTACCAATTTAGAAACCGTCACTAGTGATGAAGAGTTAGTAGATGAACATCACATCACTACGGATGAACATCAATTGAACTATTCAGAGCAGCAGCATCTAAGATCAGAATAGCCATGATGATTGCCAATCTCCGTCGCGGAGATGGCACGTGAAGAAGAAGAAGATGAGTTTTATCCACTGGGTCCACCCGTACCCATAGTCAAATAATGTAAAATTTACTTCGGGAGAGTAGGAAGCTTAAAAAAATATGTAATGATTTTATTCAAGGAAACTGTATATAGAGCAATGAACAAAGAGCACCATATTTCCAAAGAATTTCGTTTAAAGTGTCAGGCAGGGTTGCATACCTCACTTTTACTGTTCAAAACAATTGACCCAGGCGGAATGCTGCCAGGAAACTGAAAGACGAGTAGCACGCAAGATAAAAGGTGCCTGTGTGGTATTTGTACATTTAAAATGAACTATATTACCAGGGACAGCAGGCCGCACCTGTTTTCAGACCTTACACTACACCTTACAGCTACATTGTGAGTTCTGCAGTTATGGATCCTTATTCTTCCATACTCGGACCAGAGGGACTGTAGAGGACCAATATAGGGCACTGTAAGGGACATTGGGAGCACAGTCATTCACAGTAATACGACAAAATGTATGGGAGAGTCTAAACAGATGCAAAAACTATTAAGTGAACATTCGTATGAAAATATTGCAAGTCAATCTGCAGTCTCAAAACAAAGAAGATATGGTTTACATCCTGTACTAAAACTTGAACCTGTACTTTTTGTTAAGTTTTACCTGAATCTTCTACCGGTTACAGCAAGCGGAATCTTTGTTTTTAGTGTTTCATATCTTAGTGTTTTAAAAATAGACCAAAACGTGAGATCCACTCAAAAATAATATTTTCAAAATCCCGTCGAAAGGTCAAATATTTATAATAGATAATAAACCGACCTATTTATTGCATATGCATCAGTCTAAACATAATTGTTGTGCTCAAACTGTTTCGTAACAGATTACCAGAGAAAACTACTTATCTAAAAAAACATAACTAATGGTAGGTCAAAAATCAATTGAAAATAATAAATTCAGTTAGTTTGTACTTTGTTACGTTTGATCCAAATGTTAATTTGTTTTTCAGATATAATTAGATTATTACTTTTTATCTTTACTATGAGTATAAGATAGGGAAATTTAGCGTGCACCAAATATTAGCCAAAGTATTTATTTTTAAAATAAATACATTATGTTGTCAAGGTATCTCAAAAGTTTTTTGAATTATGAACATTATTCGATTACAATTTAGTAAAGGAAAAATTGGAATTTTCTTGAAAGTGACGATGTAATTACACATAATGACGATAAAATTATCGATGGATCTAAGATAGAAATATACAGGAGTTGGATACTTATATATGTATATATTAAGACTTAACTTAAAAGTTTATAAGTTTACGTATTTCCTGGATATCAGACCCCAAGGAAGCATTAAACAGACAAAGCAATTCACAGAACAAAAATATATATCCTGTGGGATTGATAAGCTTTTAGAAGTTAACTGCAAAAACGAGCTCAATTAATTGGAAAAATACAACAAGGTAGCTCTTTTAGTCTAATGAAGAGACTGAAGATTACTGATTGGCAAATGAAGTGCCAGATCGTACATCATAAATCTTCATCACCGGAGGTAGCTGTAGAGAAGGTAACAACAGGTCAATAAAAAAAAGCTAAAAATAACTTATACAGGTTTTGTAAGGTTCTAAAAGTTATAGGAGGGATAGTTTATGACAAATCTTTGAAGATGTACAACTGATTATGCTTTGGATTTTTTTAAACAGTCATTAAAAGTGAAAAGATCATTTTTTGCCAATAAAACAGTTGTCACATCGTCTCCCGCAATTGCAGACAAAAAGATTATAATCAATTCAAAGAAACATAAAAAACGATTCATTGAACAAAACCTCCCGCTATTAAGAGAACTTTATAACCAACTAGCAATTGTGGCAAGATCTTCCTAATGAATTTCAGAGAACCTTCAAAGGATAGTATTTACTTTAGCCCTATTTCTTGTAATTACTTTAACAATTAATATTTAAATTTAAGGTAGTTATATAAAGTAGTTCATATTAAAAAAAACAATAATATAATACTCGTAAAAGGAAAAAAAACAATACGATTTACAAAGCAAATCCGTTATTAAGGACTTGGGAATGACAACAAAATCAAAAGAGTATATTTTTTGAGAGTGTTTTATTACTCACCTTCTACTCTTTGTTCATCTGGTGTAATAGTAGCACATTTAATTCCGACATTATGTTTTAAGATGGCATGTGCAGCATCAATGGTCACCTGATCATTAGTTTGGTCCCTAAAATAAGCCAATAATAAAGTCAATGACCCAACAACTCATAAGAAAAAGAGATGAGTAAATTATATTTTTTCTCTCTTAAATTAAAATTTTAAGTTAACCCTGTATAAGCAAGACATCAGCGGATAAGTGACAATACCATAATCACATAAAAATAATTATAAAATCTAAAAAATACCTGTGTGGTAGCCCCAAATCGAAGTAAAGGCATTCGAGTTTAACATAAGGAAAAATTAGGGATTCCTTAATCTTGTGCCAAATGATTCTCGTCATTTCATCCCCATCCATCTCGACGACGGGTTTCGCCACTTCAACCCTTTTTCCACTAGCATCTAAAAAGCAAAATAGTTCATTAATAAGAACCAAACAGGATATAATATTTTCAGTAACAAATTTAAAAATCAAAAAATAAAATAAAAAATCAGTTTCTGTTACCTATATATAAATAGACTAGAAAATATCGTCATATGAGAATTATCTCGTTTATTATTAACTTTATATCAATGTACATAAACAAAAATGAAGAGAATTATACAGTGCTAGTCAAAAGTCCGTTCCCCCATCGTATCTTTTGAACGGTTATTGTTTTAATAGTGCCAATTGGTGGGAAGTAATAAACAGACGTAGGCTTCTCATCTAGTCATAACAGGTGACGTAATAGTGACAGATGACGTTACAACGCCACTGTGACAGATAATTTTAAATGGGACCTTATGGCAAGTGATACTTCGTTTGAAAGGTATTGACAATACCTATTCAGTCATAATAATTGTATTTGAGTTTAGGCTCATTTTGATAAATAAATTAAATAAATACTAAAATTGTAGTTTCGCATTTAATTAATAAATATCAAAACATCCGCCTCTGGTTACTTGTCAAAAAGTTGACGTTTTTCAATTCTCTAATTGTTTTTACGTCAACGTCAACTTTTTTGACAATTAACCAGTGGCGAACGTTAGAATATTTATTGATTAAATGTGAAACTACAATTATTTTAATATACCTATTCAATCATACTAATTTTGTTTGGATTTAAGATGCTTTTGACGAATAAATGAAATAAATACTAAAATTCTAATTCGGCATTTAATTAATAAAAATTCTAACGTCAGTCTTTGGTTATTTGTCAAAAAAAGTTGACGTATGTCAATTCTCTAGTTGTTTTTAGTTTGCAAAAGCGTTTATAGCCCAATATTTAGTTTCTGTTTCTACTTAGTTTAGTCAATTCAAGTTTAGTTCAAGTTGTTTTTAGTTAGTTGTTCTTAGTTAATATTAAGTTTAGTTAGTTAGTTAGTTTAGTTTATTATTCTTTACAAAGGCAGAATGGTACGTACTGTATTCGATAAAGTAGCAGCTGTATTACTAATTGGTGAATGTGGAAATAATTTCCATGCAGCGAAACGTCTTTTTAATGAGAGGTGCCCCGATCGCCCTATATCGAGATCTTATTTGAGAAAGCTTCTTCGGAAGTTTAAACAAACAGGTAGTGTTCAAGATGTCTAGGTCGATCTGGTCGACCAACAATTAGTAATGACAAAAAAATTGATATAATATCAGAAATGGTAGTGAGTCCTACTTCTTCTACAGCCCAAGTTGCATCTATCTATGGAATTAGTCAAAAGACAGTACACCGAATGTTGGATGAAAACAAATTTCATCCATACAAATTAAAAATTGTGCACCAACTTTCAGATGATGACCCGACCGAAGACTATAATTCTGTGAAAATATGTCCAATAAATATAACCAACAGCCCAATTACATGAAAACAATTTGTTTTAGTGACAAAATTACTTTTTCTCTTAATGGAAATGTTAACACACACAATATGAGGTATTGGAGTGACACAAATACTCACGTCTTTCGTGAAACACATACTCAATTTCCAAAAAAAAAATAAATGTTTGGGCAGGTATTTTGGGAAACCACATAGTTGGGCCTGTTATTCTCAATACTAACTTAACCGGTGAAGTGTATCTGGAGATGTTACAAAATGCAATTGAACCATTAATACTTGAAATTCTGGAGGATAATCCAGATGAATTCGGCAACTTGGAAATAACGTTTCAACAAGATGGTGCTCCTGCACACCATTATGTTGCAGTAAGACGTTACCTAGATGAGACATATCGTGGTAGATGGATTGGACGACGAAGTACGATAGAATGGCCAGCTCGGTCACCGGACCTCACACCATTAGATTTTTTTCTGTGGGGATACACACTACTCCATTTTTGAGATTTGAGAATGTGGCATGGGTAACAAATTTCAAAATTACTCACAGCAAAGCAGGACAAGTTTGGCGTAGAAGTTGAATACTTGAAAATGATCTCCAATGATGATGACTATACTTTAAAAAATAAAGTTTTAATTTTAAGGTAAGATGTAACAAACGTTGTTTGTTGTTGTTTGTTTACGTGTATGATACCAAAATAAAACAAGTCTTCACTATAGAAACTTTAACCCTTTCAATCCTGATTTGTTTATTTTAAAATTTGATATATTTGTCTGTAGTTTGTTGTTCTAGAGCATTTAAAAGAACTAAGAATGTATTTAAAAAAATTTATTTTTAATTTTTTTTTGGTAAAAAATGCATGGGATTATATATCCCAACAGTATTTTTGTATGGGATATATAATTCCAACAGTATACATGAACAATAAATGTTTATACATGATATGGGGTAAAACAATCGTTACATAACGGAACATCACACATTTTACAAATAAATTTGGTACGTTTATCTTTCTTATGTTGTGTACACCTTATACACCTCAAGCGACTGGATTTTCCTAATATAGGTAAATGGTCGCCAACATTACTCATCACTGTGGCTGACATGCTTCGACGGCCAACATGTTTGGTTTTTTTTTTCTTCTTTGGAGTCCTTGTCGGCCAGTACTGATAAGAATCTCAGCTAAGTCAACCAGATAATTTAGAAAAGGTATTTTCTTATTTCTGGTATGTAATTCAGTATATAGAATATATGAATTGTATACTGCCATCATTAGAACTTTGTAGTAAACCTTCTTCCACCATTTTTGGGATTTTCTATTGAGATCGTACACAGATGTCATTTGATCGCATCTATCTACACCTCCCATGTAACGGTTATAGAATTCAATCGATACAGGACAACAAATGTTGGATTTTGTACCATCTTTCAGTTTTCTACACACAGTTGTTTCTTCTGGCTTATGGTAGTTAGTTAGTACAATAAAATCTTTTGTGTCCTGCCATCGTATAGCTAATGTTCCAGTTTCATTACCTTTTACTTGCGATTCTCCTCGATTTAGCTTGCCATGAAATTTCGGTAAATTTTTTCGGGTACTCATGCATGTACCTACAGCAGGAAACATAATGGTATCCATAAGATGAACTGTTGTAAAAAATCTGTCGAAGCAAATTACAACATTTTCATTAGAAATTGTTGAAGATAACTGATTTATGACACGTTCTCCCAAAGTACCTGCCATCTTATTATCACTTTTGCCTGCATACACATTTATATCGTAAACATAGCCAGTTTCCGAATCGCATCTTGTCCATAACTTTATGCCACGTTTTATGGGTTTGAGGGGCATATACTGTTTCAATGTAGATCGCCCTTTGAATTTTGCCATAGACTCTTCAATTGCTTGATAGGTAGAATCACTTCTAGCTCTCATAAAACCTGTCTTCAAGCAGGAAATAACATCATCTATATAATAAGTTTTATTTGCTGTGGCAGGTTGATTGGGTTCGGCAAAATAAAATTTTGATAATAGTAGTTGGCACCTATCCCTTGATATTGCACTACGAATACAATCGTTTCCAAGCGATTTATTATTAGACCAGTACATTGCGAAAGAAGGAACTCTATTATAATGCATAACTAACGTAACACCAGTAAGTAGCATCATTTCTTTTTGGCACGTTTTGACAAAAGTTTTCTTCTTTTTCTCTTCTAAAATTTCAAGCCTACGGTTTGTACACTGGGCCATATACATAAACAAACTTTTAGGAAATACTTTTAGAAAACAGTCTAATGTACAACTGCCTCGATTCAATTGATCTGTAATAACTGGGGCTGTTCTGGCTGGTAGATCATATCTCGGAATAAAATTTACTGCATTGACATCAGTCCAAACAGTGAAAAATTCTGAACTAGTTGGTGGCAAAGGTTGCATTACCTCGTCTGCATCTTGGATATCTTCATCATCGTCAGAGGATTCCTGATCTGAAATTTGAGCTGCATTCTCAGTTTCATTACCTATATTCACTTCACTTTCAAGTGAACTTGCCTCACTTAGTTCATCTGATGACAAAATGAAGTCCTTATCCACCATACTATCATCACTACTATAGTCTATACTTTCAATTTCATCAATGTTGATGAAATTGAAGCATAGTAATCAAGTTCATCTTCGGTAAGTTTCTGTTGCTTTCGATCATACTAAAAAAAAGGAAGTTGTTTATACCTGCCGGGATAATATTTCCCAGCAAAAACACCTGTTGGGATATATAATCCCATTCAAGATTTATTGCCCATTACGATAAATTTCGTACTGAGCGGCAATATTAAATTATGTACTCACCTATCTTAATCTTTTATAATTAACAATCAGCAACCAAAATTATCCTTACGCCAACAGAAATATCGCTCCATTGATAGAAGAACGTCATAACTCAAAAAATTATATTTTTGAGATAATATATAAAAACAGTTGCTAATGTAACCTACTTTTATGTGGAAGATCATCACAACATATGCATAAAAATATTACCAACAGATGGCAATAGTGTCGTTTTAGATGTCATCAAATGAACTGATCCGTTATGCGGAAGAACGACAGATATAACTTAACTCGCAAGCGAAACTGTTGTTCCAGTCTTAATTTTATGGAATATAGTCGCAACACAAAAAAGAGTCAAATAGTCAAAAAAACAAATAAAAGTTTTTTTTTGTTTATTTTAACTTTATTTTTGTGTCACATTATTAAATCAATTTAAACATTTTTTTACAGAAAGTCACATTTTAATATAAGACGAAAAAAGTCTTACCAAAATAATAAAAAACAGCATATATTTTTAAAGAAGAAAGACACAAGTAGTTGTCATTCAAAACTTTTGTCAATCCAAGAGAAAGTCTCTACTACCACTTAACTAGTGTCCTTTAAGTTATCAAACAACAATAAAAGCTTTTAATTTGTTTGCAAAGTTAAAGGAATATCAGCAAGTGAAAAAACCAATAATCTTTAAACCATGATATTGACACAATGTTGATTTTTGAGTTATGACGTTCTTCAATAAATGGAGCGATATGTTATCAACACAGTTTTATATGATCGTA